AGAAAGAAACGTGTGATCAGAAAAGATAATAAATCATCGAATATGAATGCAATAAAAAATTATCCTTGAAGCAAAGACCGTCAATAAAAACATTTAGGAAAGGGACTATAATGTTCAAAATCTATTGTATATAGATGGATTAAGGAGAAGCATATCAAACCTCACATAAGTGTAGTCAGGCCTCACAAATACTAACAAACTAGCAAGATTATGTTTGTCAATACAAGCCCTTGATGTTTATAGGTGTATTAAAAAAGGCTCATTTCAAAGTATGCATAATACAATACACATTGATAAGAAATAGTTTTATATAAAAAGGCTACACATGGATTTTACTTGACCCCCATGGAGAATGATCTGCATAGAGCTCACAAATGCAAAAAATTCATCAGAAAAATTATATTCATGTGTGCATTATCTTGATCTATATGAGATGAGAATGAGACTTTATTGTTTAATAGAAAAATAGAAATTTTTCCACTCACATAACAAGTGCTAGCAAGAAGGTCAAGCAAAAATCGAGTGGCCGGAACATTAGTGACAATAAGATTTTTCTATATATATTCAAATACAAGGAATTTTAGTCGAAAAATTAGATGTAATGGATTATTGTGAACGATCAGATATAACAAAAGTTTGTGGTTGTAGACCCTGAATCGTTTATCATAATTGTTTATACTATTTAATTGGTGAGTTTCCAGGTCGAAAACAGGGATTTTAAGTCGCAAAGTTAAATCAAGTATTGATTTGGTGAAAACGGCGAAAAAACAATAAAGAGACCCACTCGAAAGCGAGCCTGACTCTAAAACTAGGGGGGACTAGAAAACTAAGAAAAACGGTAAAGGTGAGCGGGGGTGAGCGGAGCAGTGGTGAGCGGGACTGGTGCCAACGATGGGTGAACGAGAGGGACATGAGCGGAAAGGCACAATATATTTATATAGATTGAGTGAAAGAGGGTGATGGAGAGATACTGTGTCTGAATTGTGCGTTCCTTAATTGCTAGATTTTCTTGGATGAAATGAACGAGTGATATTGGTGTTTAATCGAAACATATATGTATAATACGAAAGATGACGCCCACAATCAGAATATTATAAGAAAGAAACCGTACTGTCACTAGGAATTTCTGTGACCCAATAAACCACCGTCTATGCCCTATTAATTATCCCAATTTCTGTCTCATTGGTGGCTTTACCCTTATGTTACTTCTTTTTAATCAAAATTGAATTTAGACCCAGTAATTAAGCAGATCGACAAGGCTCATGCGTACGTAACTACATCGAACTACCCTGAATTTGTTTGTGACAAAGAGACAAGGCTTGGATAATCAATTTTTCTGCGTTCTTTCTCAGCAACTTAGAGTTCTTTACAACTAAAGTTTATATAAATGTGAAAATATGGAAGATGTGATAACGAAGAACAAATGATATTTCATTACTTACTACCAAAGTAGTAAAGTTCTATTTCTACAAAAGTTGTAACTTAAAGCGGTAAACTAGAACTAGAGAAGCAGTAAAGTGGTGGCCAAGGGAGAAGAAAAATCTCAACTCCCCTGACCATTCCTGCTGAGAACTCCCTTACAGGGTTGGAGCTCTCTTGAGGCAGGAAGACGGCTAAGAATGCGCGTAAAAAAAGGTGCTTGTATACTCCTCTCGAAGTATATCTTACAAATGAATATCTGGCCCTATTTATAGCTAATGGAAGTGACAGTTGCAAGCAGTTAAAAAGTAGTTCCAACCGTTGGGCAGTTAGGCAGTTGGTGACAGTTATTCTGTTGGAACAATTGCTGGCCGTAACTCCCAGGGTGCTCGTTTCGCTTGCCTTGACTTGTATAGGCGCAGATCTTCCTCGCTTGCCAGATGGCTGAAGGGCATTAGCGCAGCTGAGCGGAATCGTCTATGTTGGCTGATAGTGGAATGGTTGTACCGCTGCGGGTTGAACACTTAGGCGTTATTTGCAATAAGTTGTCGTCGCTTTGCTGCAGTGGGTGTCTGGGTTGCTAGCTTGAGCGATGAAGTCATCGCTTGCGAACGGAAACGGCTATCGCTTGTCTCTCATGCCTTAGTTTTTCTGGACCCGAATCACTGCTTAAAAGGGCAAAAATTGTTAATAATTTCAAAAAATCAATTCTGGATCATGCCAAGCGAAATAAATCAATAAAGTATGCCATAATTCAGATATTGTGATATTTTTATATAGAAATTCAAGTAATGCATAGTTTTGTTAAGCGGAAAATATGCTCATATTTGAAGTCATCAATTAGAAACTAAACCGGTTCAATCTGTAACAAAGAAAATTACTAAAAGTTGTTTGATTAATCAGGTTAGCTCGATTTTCCTAGTTGAAAGCCATACAACGTAAGAAAAACATAGTATCAATATCTTATATTCTCCTATTTAGAATAGAAGATTAATTATTTTTATAATTCATTGTTGCATTTCATTTTATGTATGTACTTAGCTTAACTATGCAATGAATGTGTATTTGTCTATATGCATATTATCCCAACAATAAATGAAAGTGGCCAGTTAATCAATCAAAACATATATTCATACAACAAGATAATACAAAACCACATAAAGAATGGGATGATGCAGATATTTTTTTCCATGCCGCTACTAGCGATGGTTTTAACATTTTTCTTATTCAACAACCGTCTAATTCTCCTGACATGAATGTCAATGATTTATGATGGTTTCGAGCAATCCAGAGCTTAAAAAAAGAAAAATCATGCAAGAATGTCAATGAATTACTTGATGTTGTTGATGCAAGCTTCAAAGAATTGACACCACAATATTTAAACAAGATATTTTTATGTTTACAAAGTTTCATGATTGAAGTAATGAAGGCAAATGAGGCCAACTCATACAAGATCCCACATATAAAAATAGACAGTTTGTTGAAACCCGACAATCTCCCAAATCATCTTACTGTTCCCATGGAATTAATGCATGAATGCATACAATTGAGAAATGTGAGGTGAATGTACTTGAAAAGGGTTATGAATGATCTAGGATATTAGAGGTAGAAAAATGTGTATGCAAACTCATGTGTGCAATCTTCTGTTTTTGAAAGCATGTGAAAATTTTTCTTGACATGATTAGTGCATACATATATAGTGATGTATGAGTAATCTCTGTAATAAAATGCAATGTTTGAAATGTTTGCTTTCACAATTTTAAGCCAATTTCATGCTCAAGAAATCGACTTTTCTAGTGGAAACATAATTACTTTGAATATATTCAATAAGATCACAGATAAGAAAATGAACATCAGTCCAATCCAACAACGACAAACTATTAAAAACGTTCACTAACAGTGAGTAGAGGCATGTACACACATATCGGGACATAGCATACATATATTGAGGGACATTCAGGTCTAACAGACTGCAGATAAGATGCAATAACTTTCACCACAACCAAAGTAAGGAAAAATCAAGCCATCACACTCAAATATGACATGAATTGCAATATACTAAAAATTAATCCAACAACAGTGAACGACAAGTAAGAATTGGTTGAGATCTCATCAACATCCTCATAAGGGACGTGTTCGTCGGGGCGATTGGAATACGTAAGTGGGTTTCTCCACATCGTGCTCAACCTCGAGCTCATTTTCTGAGTCAAGGACGAACCTAAGCCGAAATAAAAAATCAGCACCGTCGGTAGCAAATCCAGCAGCCCCGTCAAGCTCCGCGTCCTTTTTCGGAAAAGCTCGAGGACAACAGATAGTTACAGATACTGGTTTATGAATCTAAGGACCGAAGTCGACATCCAAACCCAAATAAAAAGGCTCATTCGTGTCCGACACCCACCAACCGTTTCCTTTGCTCTCTCCCAGCTGCTCACTGGAAAATATAAACAGATCGGCGTTGCCGAAAAAGATTTGAAAAGCGGGTGCTCGGATTTTAGTCGATTTAGGGTCGACGAAAGAAGAATAGCCACAGTTAGGGTAATGGGGACTCACAATTGGAGTAAGGCTTGAAACACATTAAATCGAAAAGGACAGTCTATGACACTGGACAAATCAACGGTGACAACAAAGTAGGGTTTTTAGACATTGGGCAGAAAGAAAAGGGGAGAACAGGGGTGGAGAGAGAAAGAGTGAGACCGTGGTGTCGCGGGTGTTGGATGATTTTAAATATAATTAGGATATATTAAAAAATTTAAATTAAATTTAAAATGAGTTAATTTTTGCCAAATATGAAAAGTGATAAAATATTTGGAATAAACAGAATTGAAAAGGAAGACACGATAAGTGGAATGAAAGAAGTAAATTGAAAAATGATACTCTTATCTCATTACGAACAAAAATAAAAAATATAGTAAATTATATAACATCCCATTGTATTTTAGTAAAAATGAATAAAACATCCCGTGTTTTATTTATTACGTGAAACTCCTTTATATTAATATAAAGTTTGCACGAAACACCTTTTTCGTCCACAACTGATATTTGATTATAAATATGAACCAAATAATGCAAGTTGTATACAAATAAAAGAAATAAAATATTTTAAATAATTTTTTAAATAAAATTAATTAATAAATAATTTATTAATTCTTTATTTTATAATTTTTTGAAGATAAATTATTATCAAATTTTTAAAAAACTTATAAAAATAAATGACTAAGCAATTAATTAATTATTTATTTTATTAAAAATTATTTAAAATATTTTATATTTTTTATTTGTATAAAATTTACATAATTTATGTGTTTATATTGAATAAAAACATTTGGTACAAATTTTAAAATAACAAAATTTTACATAATAAATAAAATACAAAATATTATTGACGTTCTTTATACAGGTAATATAAAAGAAAAAGCCAAGCAAGGCGAAACTGCCACAGCGCGTACACCAGACAAGAGGATTCCGTGTGACGCGCACTATGGGTGCATTACACCGAGGCTTCATATAAACGCCAAGTGTCGAATCATGAGTGGTCATCCCAAGTCTTGCTGACTTTACTTTACGACTGACCTCCCCCGAGTGTCCACTCCGACCCCGCCGCAGTATTCTCCCATCGCCTCCGATTTCGTCTCTCCGCTGTCCTCTCCTCTCCTTTCCTTAGTTCTCTCACTCTGTATCTTCTCGCGCCTGTCTACCTAGATTATGACCTAAATCCGCCCTTGTTGACGTCCGTGTATACAGCAATCTATGGCCGAAGGTGGATCCTACAATTTAGGGTTTCGATTGGGTATGCCCTTTCTCTTCTTTTGTTTTTTTTTTTTTTTTAGAAAATTAGGGTTTTCTTTTTTCTTTGTAAAAGATGGTGAGAAAATGTGATTTTGGCGAGGGTGGTTGAGGTTGGAGCGTTGATTTATGTGGTTTTACTGATGGGGTTTTGGGAGAGCAAAGAAATAAGTAGGTTGAGCGGCACTCTGCTGTGCTTTGGAAGTTCCTACGATTTACTTGATTTAGATGGTCCTGTATGTGAATTCATTCGAAGTGGCGGTGTTTGGGAACAATTGTTGTATAATCTTGGCCGGCTGGACTCTTCGGCGTATGTTTCTAGGGTTTTGATTTGCATCAAGAAACTTATTTGGAGATGTGGCTAACTGGAAATATCTTAGTTCATGGTGCTAGGCCATTGCGGTTATAATTGGATCATTTGTGATTTTTAGTTCGTTTAGTAGTTTTTTGACACACAAACTGTTTCCTCTGAGAGGTTAAGCTCACATACGTATTTTGTAATATCCCAATAGATAATGAGAGAAAGGGTTTGATCATTTAGGCGTTGTGTAGGACTGTAAAAGGTTTATTATATTTGGATGATTGCTGCCCTGTAGATGTTAAAACATAGGAAATTGGAATTCCAATTCTTGTAGAATGGTGAAAGCAATGAAAATTCCAAGTTGAGGGTTTATTTTGTGAATGGTTTTGTTGATGGTTAGGTATGGAATGCAGAACTCTAAATTTATTCTCGTGAAAGATGATACTGATAATGGATACAACTTAAGCACGGGCATTTGCCCATCAAGATAACTGTAGCATCACAGAGAAATCCTTCTATTGACATAGTTGTAGTGTCGAAGAAAATGAAGTTTGGTGGTACGAAGATACAACATAGAAAAGTGTCTCAATTTTATGTTTTATGACTCGTTGTTCAAGTTGTCGATTTTGCTCCTATATTCAGTTTTCTCCATGTCTATGCATTGGCATTTCTGCTTGCAAATGAATAAGACAATGGTTTGAGGGTTTAAGTTATTGGAAATTTCAGCAAGATATGGAGGAGGTTGCATAAAAGGTTACTTTAGAATTGTTGTTTCTTTCATTTCGGGTTAGGTCGGGTTTAGTGTGGAGAGGCATGCTAGTCAGGTTGTGGCTGCGCAAAACAATTGTATTTGTATTAAAAGTGGGAAGGTTCTTGTGAAATGTGGCTATGGCCATTCTTATGGGGATAACATCAACCTAATTTGGGATTCTTGGCCAATGTTTGCTTTCACTTTCTGAGTTGTTTTTGGTCACAAGCTAACTTTAAAGTCTCGAAGTACTTAATTGTTACATGATACATATACCAAATACAACTTTTAATAGATCCATTATTCTACTTCTCCGTTACTATTATTTCTGGTCAAATTCCACTAGTTTTTTACAATGGAAATACTTTTTATACATTGTGGTCTGCATGGGTCTTACTGGAGCACAAGGCAAAATTTTTCGATAAATGAAATCTGCTTTTACCATTAATAATATTTCAATATATGAAACATAAATGAACTATTGCGCCATTGATAGCAATTGTGGATGCTTTTCACCTTTAACTTTTGCTAGGTAAGCACAGATAACTAAACACTACCATGATGAAATATAACTGAAAAGAATACATAATAAAAACTCTCTGGAATGAAAATAAATAGAAAAGAAATGCAGTAACTTATCTCAAATATGACTGGTGATAAAATGGTGTTATGTTAGCTCCTTAGAGTGCTACAAGGTGTTTTGCTTGTCTTGCATTTAATGCATCCGCCTGCATAAGGAACAGGGATTTGTGAGAATACTTCATCTGTTTCTGACTTTCTGCCTTTCCACCAGTTGGCCTTCCTTCCTAATTTTCTTGTGTGAAAACAGTTATAATGTCATGTCATTGTATATTTTGTTAAACTTTAAATATGTGCTAGAAGTTTCATCAGTGTGATTGATTGTTGGGGAATACAAATTAATATCTTTTGTTCATAGTGCAGATATCAAGCAGATACTGTTAGAGGCAAAACACAGGTGGCTGAGACCTGCTGAGATTTGTGAAATTCTTAGAAACTATGAGAAGTTTCATATATCTGCCGAGGCTCCTAGTAAACCAGTTAGTATGTATTTTTTGTCTGGTCTATCTTCTAATTTGCCTCTTATGAAGCCCAGTTACTCATGCTTTATTGCTTGGGAATTTTTTAACCCGTTGTACACATGCATATGACTATGTCGTGCGTCAGTATACTTTTTCTAAAGAAGCCCAAACAAATCAAGAGGATGATGAAGGGAATAGGGAAATCCATGTAAAGTGTGACTTTGAACAAATAAAGTAGAATCATGACCATATTTGTAACTAATTTCCCATTTGATTCTACTCATTATACTAATTGAACCTGTTATATGCATGAATTCTATCAATCTATTTTGAATTGCATGCTTCATGTGATCTTTGGATCAATAACTTGTATAATTTAATTTTTAAAAGCTTTTGAACGCGCTGTTCTTTGCAAATTTTGGTACTAATGAATGATATTACTTTGAAATTATGCACGCGCCACTGATTTGTTATTAAGTGGACTTTAACTTCAATGGTTTTGCACGTCACTTTATTCTCTAAATATATCCCATCATTTTTTTGTTGTTCACTTAGTCTTAATTTTCATCCTCTGACTACCTCAAGACGGACAATTTTTTATGTATGAATGCATGCAATTTCTTTTATTTCTACTTTTTAGAAGATACCCAGTAGCAGGTACTACCAAATTTTAGGTAGCATATTACTTTTATAGTTCATGTACATGTATAAATAAGATGAAATTCGTGAAAAAGGTGCTGAATGTGTTTCTTATGAGTTTGATATGTGATCTGGATTTGGTATTTTTAGTTGAATTATTAACACGAACTGTTTCTGTCAGGCGGTTCTGTTTTTCTTTTTGATCGTAAGGTGTTGAGGTACTTCCGAAAGGATGGACATAATTGGAGAAAGAAAAAGGATGGGAAGACCGTTAAGGAGGCCCATGAGAAATTGAAGGTAATATATTCATTATTAAATGGCACTAATTGCTTATAAAATGCACGATTGAGTGCATGATTCATACATTTTGTTCACAACCCTGATTGTTCTCCGGGATTCAGGAGCTTTTGATCTTCACGCTTAATAACTTGATCATTTGAGCCCTAGTATCTTCTAGAATTCTGGATGCAAGTATCTGTATATATGTCTCAAATAAATGTAAGTAATTCTGCTGCAAACTTTAGTTAAGGTGGACCTGGTGCATTGCAGTTGACCTGCTGAAAACAACTGTACATAATATATATATATTCTTAATAATAATGATGATAACAATATGCTTCTGGACATCCCATACTTCCGTAGCAAATTTATGGAAAGCTCTCACTCTGGAAGGCTCTTCGCAGCCTTCACTCATGACTTTTCCTCACTGAAGAAATGCAACAAATACACAATTTCAAAAACCTTAAGCAATGTAGTTACAAAGGAAACAGAAACTGATAATAACATCATGCCAAGATAAAGGATTGCTTTCTGCCAGGAAGATGAAAATTTTGAATTGAGAGGACAGTAAGTTGCATTGGAGGCAACTAGTATACAGATATATATGTATATACATACATATAAATATATATTGTAAGGTGCTACCGCATGTCATATTTACGCAATGCCAGTATCTAGGAATGTTGGAGCATAGTACAGGGTTTGGTGTCTGCCCTAAATACTTTGTATGGGAGTATGGTCTAAAGTTATTCATTCAGCGTGAGAATGGCTATATTTTGATGCTGCTTCATCTTCAGGTTGGAAGTGTTGATATGCTTCATTGCTATTATGCCCATGGGGAAGATAACGAAAACTTTCAAAGGCGCAGCTACTGGTTGCTTGAGACGTAAGTGTAGATATTGTGAAGTTGTATTCATTGGCATAGTTTGCATAGGTGATTTTGTGGTAGTGATTTGCTTACTGTAGTCCATTAAAAATCAGCTTGGCATAATTCACGTTGATTTGACATATGGTCTCCATTCTCTGTAAGAAAATATATCTACTTTCCACCTGCTTGTATTCTTTTCAAATGAGTTTGTCTTAATGATATATTGAAGCCATATGAAATTATTGTGCCATCCCTATAGAAATAATAATAGAAGTGTAACACGTCCTCATCCTGTCCGGAAATAGTAGCTATGTTCAAGTCAACCTCTGCTAGTGACTACATGAGTGAATAACAACACGTCTCAGGATTTAAAGAGAACGATTAGTGATTTAACTCTTGGATGGCTTGTTCTCTTCTTATTTTTTGACTGAAATGAAATGTGACTGTTTCCGGACATGTTAACTTCATCTTGTGAAATTGATTTACACTTGCTTTCTGAGTTTTGATAGGCATGTATTTTGTTTGACTAAGTGACATGTTCTTGTCACAAATGATGCATGTAAGATTATTCGTGTGGCAAGATGTGCATTTTAGTCAAGATTGGTTAATCACTTGATTTATACAATGAAGTATCATATCCTTGCAAAGGATGTGTAAACCTTGAACCACTCAACACATATATTGAATTGTGGCCGTGTTTTCTGATTGTGCAGGGACCTCATGCACATAGTGTTTGTCCACTATTTGGAAGTCAAGGTTAGGCCTCGATAATGTCTCGTGATATTATGGGTTTTTTGTTGCCTATGTATTTTTTCCCCTTCTTAAATGAGAAATTTAATTTCAAAATATGCTTTACCCTGTCTTATGAATTGTCTCATGAGAAAATATGTAAAGCATGATTGTTGTAACTGAAACTTGTGAAATATCAGTGTTTTACAGTAGACCACTTTTAGCTTTTAGTCTGAACAACTGGACAATCATTACGCCTTATTTTTTTGATAAATACTCAGATCAATGGTTTGACTTTATAAATTTATGTACTCATCTGGTTAAGTTCATTCTTTATTTGGTATTTTGAAAATACTACTAAGACCCTTGATTAGGTTGCTTGTGCACATGGATAAATAATTTTGAGGATAGAAAAATCACTTTGAAAGTAGGAGAAAGTGGATGATGTGAATTCCATTTCTTTGTTCTTCAGGGTAACAAAACAAACATCAGCTATGCTAGAAACAGTGATAGAGTTGCATCAAATTCTGAAAATGATGGCTCAATGTCATCCAGTTTTTGTGGTACAAGCCCCACCAGCCACTTATCTTCAGCATATGAAGATACTGAATCAGGTAGCTTGATTTCTTTCATCTTATTCTATTTATCTGTAGCATAAATTTTGAAATTGAATTCAGTTTTTCTAATACCATGATAATGTGGTGTGCGTATGACCTATTTCAGAAGGTAATCATCAAGCAAGCTCCAGGCTCCATTTATACCCAGAGTCTCCATTGACTGATGATGGCCATTCAGCTCAATCTAGCTCTTACAATCAACTTTATAGTCCAGGTATAATGCCATTTCTGATTCCTGTGATGTTCCGTAAGCATATTAGTGGTTCTAAAGATTCTTGTTTCTTTCTTTTTTTCAAGGAAATTCTTCCCTGAGTTATGCATCATTGCCAAGGGGTCGTACAGATGGAGATTTTGAAGGAGGCAGTCTCTTAACTGGTTCTCAAGCGACCACTAATGTGGCACCGTGGAAAGAATATATTGGAACTACTACAGGTGTTATTGCATTATATATGTCTAGAATTGTTGTTCTTTTTATTTCCTTTTTTTTTTTTTCCTTAAGTGAAAACTGGAGATCCCCTGAAAAATTTTAGTTTTTGTGAAATTTCTTAACAGGAGATGATGCATACAAACCAGAACTTATGCCTTCTCTGCCTCTCCAGTCGAACTGGCCGGTAATTAACAATTTTTTTGAGGGCACTTCTCTTCCTCCGAATCAAGGGTTTCTTGAGCAAAAAGAACAGTCTGGGCAAAGGAATCTTCAAATGCTCCTCTCTAATATAGAGCCTGGAAGTGCTTTGAACCAAAATTTGGAGAATCCTATGCCTACACTAGGAAACGAAAACAATTCTTTCCTCCTGAAAAAGCCTCTACTTAGTGGTTTGCAAACAGAAGAAAGCTTGAAAAAGGTTGATAGCTTCTCCCGTTGGATTGCTAAGGAACTTGGGGATGTTGATGAATTAGATGTACAAAGAAGTAGTGGAATTTCATGGAGTATTATGGGAAATGAAGACGACTCTACTATGTCAGCCCCGTTGCAAGTGGATATGCACACGCTGAACCCTTCTATTTCCCAGGATCAGCTTTTCAGTATTATTGATTTTTCTCCTAGCTGGGCCTACTCAAACTTGGAGACCAAGGTACTACATGTCTACTATTTCAATCTTAGACCATATTATCAGTTTATCGCCTATAATGTAAAGATATTCTGTTATAACCCACAAATGTTACTATTATAGCACTTCTGCTTTTCTGTTGTAGAAGTGAATTTGTTTTCCAGATTCTCTCTCAAGTGAATTACAAGATTTGAGTAATTCACATCCAAGTTTTCTCTGCCTTTCCTCCTTGTAATTGAGCATCCAACAATGACAAATAGAGCGGCAGTGTAATTAGTTTGATGCATTAGCTCCTGCTAGTATAATGTGCATTCTTATGCTCTAGTTGAATCCTGATGCTTATTTTTTCCTTTTTTGCCACAACAGATTGTTGTCACTGGAATATTCCTCAAGAGTGAGCAAGAGTTATATGAATGTCGATGGTCCATCATGTTTGGAGAAGTTGAGGTTCCAGCAGAGGTTTTGGCCAATGGAACTCTTTGTTGCCTTGCTCCATTACAAAATCCTGGAGTAGTCCCTTTCTACATAACATGTTCCAATAGGTTGGCATGTAGTGAAATACGAGAATTTGACTATCGGCCGGAGCAAAACATTCACCTTCTTGACATAAGTAGAGATAAGGGAGCTCAGATGCATCTGTATCAAAGATTTGAGATGATATTGGACCTGGAACCCACTGGCAGTCCTATAAATTGTGGAAATGACTTTGAAAAACGGAATATAATCGACAAACTTGTCTCCTTGATAGATGAGGAGAGTAACCATGAGGCAAGGTTGACTCCAGAGAATGACAAATCCCATCTTAAGGTGATTGGAGAGCTTCTCCTAGAGAGGCGGCTTAAAGAGAAATTTTACTCTTGGCTTCTTCGCAGAGTAACTGAAGATGGCAAGGGGCCAATGGCTATTGATGCTGGGGGTCAAGGCGTCTTACACTTGGCTGCGGCGCTTGGTTTTAGTTGGGCTATCCAGCCAATGATCACTGCCGGTGTTAGTATAGACTTTCGTGATGCAAATGGTTGGACAGCACTTCACTGGGCTGCTTTCTGTGGCAGGTAGCCTTTTACTTAGTGTTTTTCACTAAGAAGTATACATTCCTCTTGATGTTCTTCCTGTAGTTTATGAAATGTTTCTGTTTCTTCCTCTTAACATTCTCCCTTATTATTGCTATTACACATAATAGAGAACTGGCTATATCTATCTGTACTTTCCTTGCTTTTTGTCGTTAACACTTTTTTTTTTTTCTTACAGAGAGGACACAGTTGCTGCCCTTGTTGCTCTGGGTGCTGCTTCTGGACCATTGACAGATCCAACTGCTGATTGCCCACAGGGAAGTACTCCATACGACCTGGCTTCTTGTTGTGGACACAAGGGCATATCTGGTTATCTTGGTGAGGCTTCTTTGACCTCATTAGTGTCTACACTTAAACTGAAGGATGATGTTATACCGGAAGCACCTGGCTTCGGAGTTATACAGACAGTTTCAGAACGTTCTGCTGTCCCAACAACTGGGGAAGAAGTTCCGGACGCTCTCTCTCTCAAGGATTCACTAGCTGCAGTCTGTAATGCAACACAAGCAGCTTCTCGCATTCACCAAATTTTCCGCATTCAATCCTTTCAAAGGAAATGGCGTGGTGTACAGGGATCTGACGACTTGCTGACTCCAGAAGAGCAAGCTGTTATAGGTGGTAAATCATCCAGGTTGGGTCATTCAGATGGTATGATGGCCAATGCTGCTGCCGTACGTATTCAGAAGAAGTACCGTGGTTGGAAGACAAGAAAAGACTTCCTACAGATCCGGCAGAAAATTGTTAAAATCCAGGTGCTTTGCGGATTAGTCTTTTCCCGATATTCACTTAAAAAAATATCCAACAAATTAATGACTCTACTTTCTCTTTCTGTAAAGGCTCATGTAAGGGGACATCAGGTCAGGAAAAAGTATAAGCCAATCATCTGGTCTGTTGGAATATTAGAGAAGGTGATTTTGCGTTGGAGGCGTAAAAGAAGTGGATTGCGTGGATTCCGATCAGATGTTCAGAAAGGGTCGAGCATGCAGGAGGACAATAATACCCTGCCACCACAGGAAGATGATTATGACTTCTTGAAAGAAGGAAGAAAACAGGCTGAAGAAAGGATGGATAAAGCACTTGCTAGAGTGAAGTCAATGGTGCAATATCCTGAAGCACGGGCCCAGTACCGTAGATTGCTAACTGCTGCTGAAGGTTTCCGCGATACTAAGGTAAAATCTCTATTCGTGTGATACTTCATTCTTTTTGTTGAGATGCTTACTGAGTGTTTGTTTGGTACAGCCGCCTTGAAAAATGCATTTTACTTGTGTCGATTTTATTTTCTTGGTCCTGAATTTCTTGTGTAGATTTAAATATGTTGTATATGTAAGAAAAATATGTTTAGTATATCCCAAGTACTGAAATTCTAAGTGCTCGAGTATTCTTGCCAATGATGCTGTTGGTAACTTAGAAATGATTTCACTAACTATTCATATTCCTTGTCTGATGTAGGAAACTTCGAATATGATGATCCCGGACAATGTTGAGGATATGGGTTATGGTGATGAGGAACTAATTGATGTTTCAAGCCTGTTGGATGACGAAACTTTCATGTCTTTAGCGTTCCAATGATGATGGAAGAAGAAAGAGTTATTAGAAGATATGGGTTGGGTTAGCTATCTGTTGTCACTGTCTCAGTCATCAAACTCCCCAATGGAAAGAAGAACAAAAAAAAAGGATAAGAATAACAGACAGATGTTAGAAGAAGCTTTGGTGTTTTGTTTTATTTTGTTGGTATCTATCTGTTCTGTTGTATATATCAATCATATCCTATCTATCTGTGCGTGGACACATTAAAGAACAAACTTACTTTATAGATGATGTGTATAATGCTGTTTGAACATTACTATATAGATACAGACAGATATATCTCTATATCTATACATATAGATACATTTAAGTGGGGGAGGTATCTATCTATCTATTTATATATCTGACTAGTTCTTATTTGTTAACGTAGAGTAGACAGTTAATTATAAATAGGTTACACATAAGGGATGACTAATATAATTTGGGATTAGATTTAGCAAATTCAAAATCTGCCCATTAGAGAATCGCCTCACTTTGAATTTGCCTGGTCATCCCTTCTCCCAATTAGGGATGTCAGTCAGGGCAGGCCTCGAGATTCGCTCTCCTAGAAAGTATCAGGTTTCATGACCGTCTCGCGGCTCCAAGATACACCCACCCGTTAGAAAATATTAGATTTTAAGATTAGATTTTAAGACTGGCCCTAGGATTCTGGGTTTGGGATCAATCCAGAAAATTTATTTATTTTTTCTTTTAAAAAATATAATTTATTTTAATAATTTAATACTAAAAAATAAGTGTTGAAATACCAAACAAAATTTAGTTAAAAAAATAAGAAGGCAGTGGTCCAAAGTGATATTGGTCGGGGCAGGCAAGACAACAACATTAAAGAAAAATATTTAGGAAGTAGAATTCTATTTTACATTTAAAATTTAAAATAAATATGTAATTTAATTTTGGAAAATAGCATAAAACCCCGTGTGGTTTTCCAAAGATACTGAAAATCACATGTTTTTAAAACTCTAGAAAACCTACTTGTAGTTCGTAAAATGGTGCATACTCGTCTCCTTCCAAAAGGCACTGACGGTGTTAAATACCCTACTAGACCGTTTTGCCCCTTACTATAATTTGTAGTTACGAATTAGGACAAACATATTCACTCTTCTCGCGATTTCACTCCCGACGCACACCTCGACCTGCCACTCACGCGCAATCCCGACTATAGCGTTCCTCTGGCCAAACGCCGCCGCTCCCGCCTCCGTCGTTCTCTCCGCCACCGCCGCCTGCAATGAATAGAAGTTGTTCGTGTCCAATTTTCTTTTGCCGGACCAAGGCGAGAGCTATGGCTCAATTCGTGGAGCCCTTCGTATATAGGTAAAATTTTACAAATGTTTGTTGAATTGTGAGTAGGAACCCATTAAATTGCGTGGAAAAATAACCTGCTAAGTTTGGTTTTGGTTTCACAAGGGTCCACACGAGGTTGGCCATATATACAACGCAAACATGTTGATTTCTTGAAAATATGGGTTTTTTTTTTGTCCTTTTCATGCAATTTTTTTGTCGTATTTTTTGTTGGAACTACCAATTTCGATGATGAGGACAACAATGGTGAGGATGATGACGAGGAAAGCCAAGGGGGATTCGAGTACATGAGTGTTGAGGAACCAACGTGGACATATTACAACGAGGGCATGAGAGCTCATACTTAGCGCGAGGTGGAGCCTGCAAGCTCTGTCGGTAAGATCAGCTGGGGCTTCACATGACTTTTTATCTTGCTTAATTAATTATTTTTACTGATATATGGCTGAAAATTTCATAAACCATGTAGATGAGGGTGACGACGGAGGACCGTGGACATATTACAACGAGGGCATGGGAGCTTATGCTTGGCACGAGACAGAGCCTGCAAGCCCTATCGGTAAGATCAGTTGGGGCTTCACATTACTTCTTATCTTACTTTCTTAATTATTTTTACTGACATGTGGCTGAAAATTTCATAAACCATGTAGATGAGGGTGACGAGGATGATAGTCACAACACCAATGCCGACGAATATTGAGAGGACGTATGGATTTGTCGAGAGTGGCAGAAGGAGGCTGCACGTGCAATGGAAAGTGACAATTCAGAGAGAAGCTCGGACAGTGGAGAGTGGAGGAGCGAGGACGTGGAGGGGGAAGTTAGCTTAGATGCTTCGCCTATGGTTGAGGATGAGATAGATCTGATGGATGAACTTCTGCAAGTGAGCGAAAATGAGGAGGCTGGGGAGTGCGAGCAGGAAGGGGTAAATACGGAGGCTGAGGGTTGGTGTTCTGATGGCCCGAGTGAGGAGGACGGGCTTCTTCGCAGCCCAACAGGATCGGATGAGGGATTGGGTCCGGTGTTCGAGGAATGGGATGATGACATGGACTTAGCCGCCCGTGATTTGAAGGTTGGGATAAAATTTGTCAACCGAGATAAATATAGACAAGCTCTTCGGGATTGGATTGTTTGTCGTGGTTGGGAATTGAATCTGATAAAGAATTAAAAAAAAAAAGTGACAACCGTTTGTAGAAAGGGGTGCGAGTGGAGGATTCACACGTCTTGCGTCATGGGGGACACTTTCCAAATTAAAACATTAAAAAGAGTTCATACTTGCGCACACTAGTCGTCTAATGCACAAGCGAAATGCAAGTACCTGGGAAAATGAATTAAGGACATTGTACCTGATAATCCAGATATATCTATACCCGCTTTGAAAAAGAAGATACATCAGGATGTGCGTGTTGAGGTGACTTTGTACAAAGTTTACCGAGCCAAGCGGTACGCATTGGAGTTGATAAAGGGTAGTAAGGTTGAGCAGTACATAAGACTTTATGATTACTGTGCTACCGTATGCAAGTACAACCCGGAAAACAGTTGTATTTTGCATGTTCATCGTGGACTTAACCCTTCGACATTGAAGCGGATGTACTATTGTTTAGCGGCTTTAAGGGACAGTTTCAAAGCGGGTTGTTGGACGATCATTGGGCTTGACGGGTGTTCTCTTAAGGGGTTCTACAAGGGGCAGCTTCTCATGGCCATTGGACGAGATCCGAATGAGAATATCTGCCCCATTTGTCTTTGCGTTTGTCGAGATTGAGATGTACAAAACGTGGGACTGGTTTTTGAAGCGCTTGTTGCAAGACCTTGGGGATTCGAGGATAGAGGAATGGGCATTTATCTTCGACCGACAAAAAGGTTTGGTGAAGGCAATTTCCGATCGAGCATCAGGGGCCGAACATCGCTTCTGTCTCCGACACATGTACAATAACTTCAAGATGCGACTTAAGGGACTGAATTGAAACTTCTCTTTTGGAGGGCAACATCAACATATAATTTAAGAGAACAAAAAAATTTCTAAGAGGGATTCTCAAGCACGATGCGGCTACCGGTATGTGAGAAGCAACATATACTTGGTTGCGTGAGATCCCGCAACATCATTGGGCGAGAGCTTTTTTTCCTATGTAGACGAAGAGCGACGTGGTTGTGAATAACATGTGTGAGTCTTTCAATCGTTACATCTTGGAGGCACGTGACCTACCGATCATAGACATGTTTGAGTAGATTCGTTGGAAATTGATGGTTCGTATTCAAGAGGAGAAGGCCGGTATTGAGAAGTTTGAGGGGATTGTATGTCCAAATATTATAAAGAAGGTGGAGAACCAACGGAATGTGAGTCGTCATTTTTTTCCGTCTTAGGGAGGAAATGATATGTACGAAGTCTTGCATTTCAATCAGAACCATATTGTCGAGCTAAATCGGTGTGTATGCACATGTGGTATGTTCCAGATCATCGACTATCCATGCTGCCACGGTGTAGCTGCTATCTAGTATCAAGGACTACCCGTCGAACAATTTGTTGACGACTGCTTCAAAAAGGAGACCTACAGAGCTGTTTACAACCATACAATTCACCATGTCCCTAGCATACATGAATTCGAGGAATCCACATTGGGAGAGGTTGCCTCGCCGGTTGTGAAAGTTAGAACTGGTTGTCCAAAGAAAGTTTATCACCGTGACGAGAACGATGGGCGTGTTGATGGTAAAGCTTCTTGAAAGGGATTGACGACTACTTGTTCGAAGTATTATCGTTTAGGACACAATAGACAAAGCTGTAAAAACGATCATCAATAGGTATAACCTAGAACCGTTGAAATTTGATGTGCTGGATTCATTATTTTTTTTGTGTGTGTGTAATGTCAGTCGTGTTGGCATATGAATTGCTGACATTTTTCACCATCAAATTAAGGAAATCAATGCAATGAGGGCCCATCCGGAGAGACGTTTGGCGGCCGCAACCAGACATAATAGGTATAGAATAGAACTCTCATGAATCTCTATATGTGTTGCAACATAAATGTGTTGTTTAGTATGTCGTTGCAATATACATTAGATTAGGAAAATATGTCGAATGAGGACCCATCAGGGCCGATGTCGGATAATCGCCCGCAAGCAGAACAAGTACGCATTGGGAATATTCTGCAATTGTTTTGGATTTTTTTGGATGACATAAATGTGATGACTTTCTTACCGTTGCAACCAACTTTTTTAGGTGGCTTCCAACGCTCATCCCGCTTCGGAATCGGCACCAGCAACACAGTCGTCTCAGGTCCAGTTGGTACGGCAGCAACACTCTCTTTTATTAATTTATGAGAAATATACAAACGTGTGTGAACATTTCACACATTTGATGAAATGCCCATTCATAGGGTCCATCTGAGACAACGGATAGGAGTGGAGCTTCTCGACATCCAACTTTATCCTCGCTCATCCGAAGCGTTGGATTCTCGCTTAAACCAGAAGAGGGTCGATCGCCATCGGCGGGTGGATCTTTTAGTGGCCGTTTGTGATGAATCTCTAATTGATTTGGAATATTTTCATATTATATACTTTGGTTATATGGTTCCGAACAATGTGGACACTTGAAGCCCTATATTTGTCATGTTTGTTTTGTGTCGGCTAATGGTTGAGATTTGAACATTTCGTATAAGTAGCAGCTATATTAGTAGGCCGCTGGTTATGTTGTTGTTATGTCCAACGATCATCGATAATGGTAGTGATTGGAGTGTTTTGTATAATGTCTATTAGATTTCCTAATGTTATAATGTTGTTGCGGCTATAATACATGTTTTTGTTTAATTTTGTCTATTGCATATCTCTGGGTGTCTATTGTATAATGGAAGGGATTGGAATGTTAAATGCATTATAATGCCTATCGTATATTTTTGAATACATACTTTTCAATGCTCAAGGATAATGGTAGTGATTGAAATGTTTAATTGTGCCAACTGTATAATGTTCGTCTCGAAAAATGCCTTATAACATCACAATATCCAACCCAAACTTACAATCGAAACATCAAAACATCCGTATTCATACCACGGAAGGCGACAATCAAACAATATTTCACATCCATCTTCATACCTACACCAAAGTCGTAATCAAAACATCCAAATCGAAAAATCAAAATATCATTATTCAAACCTACACCAAAGCTAAAATTAGAACATCAAAACATCTATGTTCTTCATTACTACTACTACAACACAAAACGAGATGGGACGAACCATCGAACATATAACCAACTACTTAAAACAAGACTTTGAATATAGTAACCACCATAACACCAACCATGATAAGCTTGATGTACCTCAGTGTAACGCGCAAGACTATTTAACGGCGTAGTTCTTCCACAACCACCTTCAATTGAGACACATTATCGGCGACAACTTTTGTTTGTTTTAGTTACTCCCCATCAAACGCAGCGGATTGAACCTCCTATTTATTCACATCATCACCATCGTTGCTCCACTTCCCAAAGCGGGTGCTTACTGGATCAAGCCAACGAAAAAAATCACAGGCTCCAACGTAACAATTACAAAATAATTTTTCTTGAGTTTCCTTTGTTTGTCCAACAGCACAGATTGCTGCAACAGACCCACACTTGCATCGTGGGCATCAATACCTTAGGTCAAGATCTCCCCTCCCCCTAGACTTCGATTTTGACTCGCTAAATGAAATCTCTAATCACATTCAATAGTAAATATTAAAATGATTGCAAAAGAACAAAAGCACATTATATTATTTGTATCCATATAAAAAATTTCAGTGATAAAGATCTTGAATCTTAAAATTACTGAAACCAAATACCCACGCAAGTAATGAGGTTCAAGAACAGCGATCGAGAACCATAAAATTACAGTGATAGGGATTTTAATTGTGGAACTATTCATATGCAAGAACAAAACGTAGTTTGGACAATTTAGTGACACAAATAAAGAAGAGAAAATGTTAAACATTGTGATCTTTTTGTGATATATCTATTCATTTTATAGGTGGAAACGATGTTCATACGCTCATGGTGTTGATGAAACATTGGAGATCGGGGGAGAGGGCATGGATCGAATGCATAGGTTCTATTATGAACCAAATATGGACATTATATATGTTCTAAGTATTTCATTACATATATTTGTCTTTGGCAAGCTTTTCTAACAATATTCCCAGTTCACGACAACATCCGGTAAATTTATTTTTTTTTTGGATTTTCTTGCCCCCTAACTATGCTAGCAATCTCAAGAAATAAAATATATGGACGTATACAAGTGTATTGTTCGATAATTTGTTAACACAGCTAACTTGATTTTCAAAATTTTACCATGTATGGAGCAACGATGGGGATGATGTGAATAACCTACATTGAATGATCATATGACATTGTTCTTGATGATAATAAATGGGAGACAACCTGACATCTTGAAAAAACTTAGTAGCCAAACATACAAGATTTTCAATTACGTGAATCGCATTTTGATGTAAGTCCTTTTTTGCTCAGGTGTATCTTAAAAGGATTGTTAATTCCCAAGGCATTGTTACCACATGACAATGGAAGTTTGCCCTAAGAATTCGTTTTAGTTAGTCATCAACTAACGAGTTCACATTGTTATGTTGTGGCTTAGTCCCACATCGGATTTGCAACAAATTCTTTTTCCTTTAGTTGGATATAAATGCGGAGGTGGCATCGTCCCACATCGACTTCTTAACAAATGTGTTTCTCCTTAGTTGGATATAAATGTGGAGGTAGCACCGTCCCACATCGACTTCTTAACAAACGCGTTTCTTCTTAGTTGGCTATAAATACGGTATGTGCTGATAAACTTAAGCATACAAAATCAAGAGATCTTTAGCGGACTGGATGCGTGTTTGGGCAATTCTAAAGGTACTTTTCTTTCTTAATTATCTTTTTTGTGTATCTTTGTTTTTTTTTTTCGTTATGTTTTAACCTTTTGTGCTTGCATTTTTGTTTTGTTGTAAATACTCTCTAGATTTTAGAATTATATATCTTTAATTCATAGTGGCTTATCTTGGTTTGTTTATCTGGATTGTAGTCTTTAGTGGTTATTTGTATTATAGTATAGTCTTTGGATAATGTTTTTGATCCTTGTGTGTTTCGGTTTGCATTATCTTTCATCGGACACTTTTCCTCTTCGCAAAACTTATATTTGTGCTCTGAATTACATCTGTTATGTTGTATTATTGTATCTATTTTTTTTTTTTTTTTAAAATGGTTCATAATTTTCTTGAAGATAGTAGATATTCTCAAGCTTAAGATGATATCTAACAACTTGATTATTTTCTTATTAATACCAATGCTATTTTTTTATTTTCTTTATGCATAGGATGCACTATGATGTTCTTTATATGCGCAATGAGAGAGCAGTCGAAGAACATAAAATTTTGGAGATCATGGATGACGCCGAGCACATCTTAAAAAAAAAAATAATTCTCGAGAGTGCATCGATTATAGATCCATTATGTGTATTCATATCTTTGGCAAGTTTTTCTAAATGCAACCCTGGACGACAGCAAAGGGTCGCCTCTATCTTTGGCAAGCCTTTCTAACAACGGTTTCTTAGGCTGCCAAAGTGTGGTAAGTTCACAAATGTTGCAATCTTTTAAAGGAAATTCAAGATTTTATTTTAATCCATTCATTTAAATTTTAAATGACTAATGTGATTCTTTTTCACTGCAGACAGACCTGATTCCAAACAGCTTGTATGGTCATAGTATGACCACTGCTCTGCTGCTGGCTGTTTTGTCTGGGCCACCATTAGAGAGTGTTTGTAGCAGTTATGCTGCAACAGCGTTGCGAGAATGTATATGGCCAAGATGCGGAAACGACGCAACAGAGGCGGAGACGGAGGACATCATTAAGTTGCTGCTCCAATATATATTAAGGTTTATTAAAAATTGGTGATTTTGGGTGTAGATAAAGTCACCTGAGTTCGTAAAAACAAATGTTATGAAAATTATGAATGTATGTTTGGTCGATGTAATTCAAATTTTACTTATAATAAAATCCCCGGCGTTTGCACGGGAACTTTCCACGTTAATTCTTTCTCTTGTTGTTTGTTTGCTTTTGGTTCTTTTGTGGTTATTATTATTATTATTATTATTATTATCTTTTTTATGTAAAATTTATTTTAAGATTCATCGAGTTGGATTACCAACAACTTCTTGATCAAAATTTTACCGATATTTTTTGGATCGAGTTTGTCACCCAAAGTCACTTAAAGTGTGGGTGGCTTTTGCAGCTATTGCTTTGGTAATTTGAGGTTACCATTTTGAATTTATCACATGTGACTCATTTTTTTGCATATTATTATGTTCGTTTGAGATTTATCCATACTTACTCAGAGAAAAAATACTAATAATTCAGGCTAATCCTAACTTTCGAAGGCCAGGGGCAACACAAAAATATGGACCTCTGAATATATATAAATAATATTTTTTATTTATAATAAAAACTTAAATAATTAAATAAAATATATATATTTTTAATTTTTTTAGATAAAAAAATAGTATTAAATTAAAATCTATGACCTCATCGTTACAAACTAAAACTCACCTTACACCACCAAACTACATTTCTTTTAATTTCAAGTAAATCAAATAAGTTTTATACTATAGTAACTATACATATATAAAATAACTATTTGACGAACCTCTCATTTATATTGGGCCCTGGGCGGGCGCCCTCTCCCCGGACCCACTATAATATATATTACCTTAAATATATCATACATTAGCTTAGTTGAGAAAAACAAATGGCAAAATTGGTTATTATTTGACAACAAAAAAAATTTAAAGGGTGTGTTTCTTTAGGGGGTTTTAGGGAAATTTGAGTTTGAGTTTGATTTTATTTGAATTTTAAAGTGAATTTGAATTTATGTGTTTCTTTTGCGATTGAGTTTGGGTTGAATATGAGGAGTTTTGATGTGTATTAATTTGATGGTAATGAATATAATAATATAAATATGTATTAATTTGTATAATTTGATATAAATTTATTTTATATCTACGTATACATTTATAAATTTTTATTTATTTGTAATATAATTTTTTTTTTTATTTTCAAAAAAATAATATATATTTTATTCAATTATAATTATTATAATTCTTTTTTATATTTATAATTTAAGAAACTATAAAAAAGTTTAAAAAAAAAAAAAAAAGAGAAGAAGGGAACAAAGCCTTTTCTGACTTTGTCCCCCAAACCCATACAATTCAAGTTTGGGCAATTTCACTGGGCTGAAGAAATACGCCTGAATAATAATAATAATAATAATAATCCACGCCCAGATGGAACCCTAATTAGGGAGGGTCGTTCTCTGCTGCTGCTGTCAATCTTGATTCCGTGCACGCGGTGAGTAGTGGCTAACCCTAATCCCTGTCGCCTTTTCTATCTTCTCCAATTTTGGTGATTCTGAGGTCTAGGGTTTTTCTAATTGTGGATTTATGTCTAGGCAATTCGTTTTCAATTTCGTTTTGTGTAATTTGGTCAGGAAAAGAATTGCTGCTAAGAACATGAAATTATGAAATCAGCACTACCTTGTTTGGCATAGCTTAAGAAATTGCAACGAATCACTTAGACTTGCATGCATTTGTCTAAACTCAATCTTTATTATGCGAGATAATCAATCAGTACAGAACACACAGGCCAATACTTGCAGGTTCCCATGTTATGGAAAAAAAAAAAATGAATGAGGATAATAATAGCTTTTATTACTGGTTTCTATTGACAGAGAGAAAATGTTTAACATTGTGATCTTTTTGTGATATATCTATTCATTTTATTTCTCTGTAGGCGGGAACGATTCGAATGTTCATACGCTCATAGTGTTGATGAAACATTGGAGATCAGGGGGACAGAGCATGGATCGAATGTATCGGTTCTATCACAAACCAAACATTATATATGTTCTAAGCATTCATTGCATATATTTGTCTTTGGCAAGCTTTTCTAACAATATTCCCAGTTTACGACAACATCCAGTAAGTTTATTTTCTTTTTTGGTTTTTCTTGCCCCTAACTATGCTTGCAATCTCAAGAAATAAAATATATGGAGGTATACAAGTGTGTGTATAAATACATGATAATACATTTTTGTGAATGTTGTGAATGAAAAGATGCAGCCACTGAGTAGATGTGAGCGGAGTACCTTTGTTTTTATAATTCTTTTTGGGTTTCATGTGATTATGGAGTGTATTGTTCGATAATTTGTTAACACAACTAACTTGATTTCCAAAATTTTACCATGTATGGTATGTAACATTGAATTTCATATGGCATCGTTCTTGATGATAATAAGTGAGAGACAACCCGACATCCTGAAAAAGCTTAGTAGCTAAACATACAGGATTTTCAATTACGTAAATCGCATTTTGGTAAAAGTCCTTCTTTGCCCAGGTGTATCTTAAGAGGATTGTTAATTCCCAAGGCAATTTTACCACATGACAACGGAAGTTTGCTCTAAGAATTCATTTTAGTTAGTCATCAACTAACGAGTTCACATTGTTATGGTGTGAGTTAGTCCCACATCGGATTTGAAACAAATTCTTTTTCCTTTGGTTGAGTTTAAATGCAGAGGTGGCATAGTCCCACATCGGATTTGCAACAGATTCTTTTTCCTTTAATTGGATATAAATGCAGAGGTGGCATGTCCCACATCGACTTCTTAACAAACGCGTTTCTCCTTAGTTGGCTATAAATACGGCAGGTGCTGATAAACTTAAGCATATAAGATCAAGAGAGCTATCGTGGCCTGGATGCGCGTTTGGGCAATTATAGAGGTACTTTTCTTTTTTAATTATGTACTTTTTGCATATCTTCTTTCTTTCTTTCATTATTTTTTTAACCTTTTGTGCTTGCATTATTGTTTTGTTCTAAATACTCTCTAGACTTCAGAATTATATATCTTCCATTCATAGTGGCTTATCTTTGTTTGCTTTTATGGATTGTAGTTTTTTATGCTTATTTGTATCATAGTATGGTTTTAGTATAGTTTCTGGATAATGTTTTTGATCCTTTGTTTGTTTTGGCTGCATTATCTTTCATCGGAGGCTTTCCCTTTTCGCAAAACTTACATTTGTAATGTTTTATTCTTAGATCTAATTTTTTTAAATGTATCATAATTTTCTTAAGAGGACAATAGTTATTCTCAAGCTCGAGATGATATCTAAAAACTTGATTTTTTTTGGTATTAATACCAATGCTATTTTCTAATTTTCTTTATACAGAGGATGCACTATGATGTTGTTTATATACGCAATGAGAGAGCATTCGGAGAACATAAAATTTCGGAGATTATGGATGACGCCGTGCACATTAATTTGACATTAATCATGCCTTTTGAAAAAAAAGTAATTCTCGAGAGTGCATCGATTATAGATCTATTATGTGCATTTTACGCGTATTCATATCTTTGGCAAGCTTTTCTAAACACAATCCTGGACGACAGCAAGTGGTCACCTCTATCTTTGGCAAGCCTTTCTAACAAGGGTTTCTTGGCCCGCCAAAGTGTGGTAAGCTCACAAAATGTTACATTTGAGATTTTATTTAAATCCATTCATTTTAATGACTAATGTGATTCTTTTGTACTGCAGACCATAGATCGACCCATTTCGAAAGTACTTGTTTGATCTTAGTATGACCACTGCTCTGCTGCTGGCTGTTTCGTCCGGGCAGGCCACCATAAGAGAGTGTTTGTAGCAGTTATGGTGCGACATAGTTGCCAGATTGAGACTGGCAACGATGTTAAAATGACGGAGGCGGAGACATCATCTAAGTTGCCGCTCCAATATATGGTTGGCTATATATATAAATATATTTATATTTATTAAGGTTTATCGGAAATTGGTGATGTTGGGTGTAGATAAACTCACCCTGAGTTTGTAAACACAAGTTTCTTTAGAATTATGGATGTATGTATGGTCGATGTAATTCTATTTTACTTACAATAAAATCCCCGGCATTTGCACGGGAACTTTCCACGTTAATTTTTCTTTTTGTTGTTTGCTGGCTTCTGGTTCTTTCTTGGTTATTTATTTTTTTTTATGTAAAATTTATTTTAAGATACAAGATTTATCGAGTTGGGTCTGGCCAATGGCATCTTGTTTGAACCTACCAACAACTTCTAGATCGAGATGAGCCTGTTGCTCATGGTTTGTAACTTTTGCCACATTATAAAAAAATTAAAAATTTAATTAAGGTTTATCAAATTTACATGCAACGGGTGTCAAATTGGTATGTTACTTGTAACCGTAAGTTAACCATTTCGAATTTGTCACAGTGAGTATTTTTTTTTGCATACTATTACGTTCGCCCGGGATTTATCCCACACTTACTCAAAGAAAAGGAAAAATTGAAGAAATTTTTAAATTCCTACGTAACAAAAAGTTAATTACTTCTTATATTTTGTAAAAAATATTCTAATTTTATGATTTTAGGCTATTTGTCAAAAGTGTGCTACTATTATATTCTCCCTCGGTCCAACGGTCGTTATTTGTATTGTAATGATATATTTCTAATTTAAGTACAAGCTTAGATATTTTGGTATTAATTTATGATTTTTTTTACTAAGAAAAGTGATACTTTTGAATAGGATATACGAAAATGGTAAAAATAATATTTCGAATTGTAACGATTATTTAGACAAAAAAATCTTTATTTAAAATCTATACTTACTATTTATTTTTGTAAGTGTTAAAAATTAACTCAATATATATTTTACACATATTCTACTTTAATAAAAAAATAATTACATTATCAATTCTATAAAAAATTCAATGATATAGTTATAAAAAAGTACAAAAAATAATATCAAATTACTATACATATATTTTTTAAAATTTTAAGTTCCAAAAAATTTTGAGAACACATTTATAAGACATGAGAAATACTGCACAACCAAAAAAAAATTTATCCACTTTAATTTACAAGAGTTTGACTTAAAAAAAAAAAAAAAAAAAAAAAAAAAAAAAAAAGCCTTAAATACTAAAGCATGCCCAGATGGAACCCTAATTAGGGATGGACGTTCTCCGCCGCACTACTGTTACGCTTCTTTCAATCTTGATTCATTCTGTGGTGGCAAACCCTAATCGTTGTTTCGCCTTTTCGGTCTTCTCCAATTGTGGCGATTATGAGTTTTAGGGTTTTTCTAATTGGGGATTTACGTAGGTAATTCCTCTTCAATTTTGTTTGTTGTGTAAATTGATAAGAAAATGAATTGCTGCGAAGAGCATGAGATCATAAAATCAGCATTACCTTGTTTGGCGTAGCCATCACAAATTGCAATGAATCTCTTAAGGGTGTGTTTGTTTGGGAGTTAGATTTTGAATTGGGATTTGAATTGTAAATTTTTTGAATTGAAATAGTTTTATAATGGGATAAATCGAATGTAAAATTAATTTTTAGTATAATATAAAAAATAAAATATAGTATTTGATTTGATATTTTTAAGGATAAAAATTTTTAGTGAATAGTAGATATCCTAAAAAATTTGTCAAAGTGACACACCCTTAAGACTTGCATTTGTCAAAACTCAATCTTTATTCTGAAAAATAATCAATAAGTACACTGTTAAACATTGTGATCTTTAATTTCTGTGATATATCCATTTATTTTATTTTTTTAGTAGGTGAACCCGATTGGAATATACGTATTCTCATGCTGTCGATGAAACATTGGAGGGTTGAGGGAGAGGGCATGGATCGAATGCAGCAGTTCTATTATGAACCAAATATGGACATTATATATGTTCTAAGCATTCATTGCATATATTTTTTTTTTGGCAAGCTTTTCTAACAAATTTCTCAATTTACGACAACATCCAATAAGTTTTTTTTTGTTTAAGTTTTTCTAGTCCCCTAACTTGCGCGCAATTGCAAGAATGAAATAAATGCAGCCACCAAGTAGATGTGAGTGGACTACCTTTGTTTTTATAATTGTTTTTTGTTTTCATATAATTGTGGAGAACTTTGGTCGATAATTTGTTAACACAAATAACTTGATTTCCAAAAATTTATCTTGTATGGTATGTAACATTAAATGATCATGTGATATTGTTCTTGATGATAGTAAGTAAAAAACAACCTAACTTTCTAAAAAATCTTAGTAGCGAAACATATAGGATTTTTCAATTACTTGTATTGCATTTTGATAAAAAAAAAATTCAGTTAGATGTATCTTTGTTAATTCCCTAGGCATTGTTACCACATGACCAAAGACTGTATTTGCTTGTAGAATCACTCTAGTAAGTCATCAACTAACGAGTTCACATTGTTATGGTATGGCTTAGTCACATATCGATTTTGCAACAGATTCTATTTCCTTTAGATGGATATAAATGCAGAGGTGGCGTAGTTCCATGTCGACTTCTTACCAAAAGCTTTTATCCTTAGTTGGCTACAAATACGGTAGGTTTTGATAAACTTAAGCATACAAAATCAAGAGAGCTTTAGTAAACTGTATGCGCGTTTGGACAATTCTAAAGGTACTTTTGTTTCTTAATTATGTAGTTGTATGTCCTAATTATGTACTCTTTTTTTATGTTTCTTTACTGTTTGTATTTGCATTATTATTAAACATGTATACTATATTTTACCATCGAGATAAATAAATGACAAAAGTGATAATTGGTATGGGATAATTTTTTGCAATGTTCTCGTTGAATACAATTGTGATAAATTGTCAATCTGTTTTAGGAATTAATATTCCATCCATTTGCTAAATTTATTTTCAAATGTCCTTTTGGTATGTCCAGTCAATTTACTTATTATTAATTTTTGGCAAAGTTAACAAATAATATTTAAACATTATCTTTGTATTCAATATTTCTTTACAATGTCACTACTTTTATTATATTCTCTTTATTTTCAATTTTTACTTAAATTTCTAAAAATACATCGAACTGTTTTTTTTAATCACTTTTTAAATAAAATATTAATATTTTTAATCTTTGTGCTGAATTCAAGTGTGCTAATTTTACGGGACGGAGGGATTATTAGATTAAAAAAGAAAGACTAGTTGTTAAGTTTAAGTTAAATCAAATTCACACAGAAGGAGGCTCGACGCGTAATTGGGGTACGTGTCGCGCTCTGGTTTCATACTTGAAATAGATCAACCAATGCTCGACACATAGTGGGGTACATGTCGTGCTCTGGTTTTATGCATGAAAAAGATCGAGCACTGCTCGACACGTAGTGGGGTATGTGTCGCGCTCTGATTGTGTGCATGAAAAAGATCGAGCACTGCTCGACACGTAGTGGGGTACATGTTGTGCTCTGATTTTATGCATGAAAAAGATCGACCACTGCTCGACACGTAGTGGGGTACGTGTTGAGCTCTGGTTTCGTGTATGAAACGGATCGAAGAGTGTCCAGTGTTGGCTCTCAATAAATAGACCCCCGATCCTCCCTTTCTTGCACACACACACAAATTGTATTCGGAAGCAGCGAGAAGATTTATGTTCTCTTTTTACAGGAGCAACTTTCTCGGTTATTGATGATGTTTCGCAAGTATCTTTTCAGGTTCGGCATCTAAGTTATTTACAGCTCTCCTTTTTGTCTATGCTTCCCTCTAGTTATTATCGCCATTGAAAACATTATTTATTTGTGCGAAATTTTAGGATACTAAGCCATTAGATCTTCTTGTTTGCAGAACACTGGCGGGCGAGAGAGGGTGGATTCAACGTAGTGAATCCTATTATGAACTGAACATGGAGTTACATAAATGGAAGTTGAGCAAGAACCATGGATTTGATCCATCTGTCTTTGGCAAGCTTTTCTAATGAAGATTCTCGCATTTGGTGGCATCCTGTGAGTTTTTGTAAATTTATTTCTCTTTACCCCTCCCCCCCACCCCCCACCCCCTCCCCCCAACAAATTTTTGCATAGCCTGTTGTTTTCATTTGCGCGGTTACTCACAATCGACGATATAATCATGTTGCAGGTGGATGCTATCGAACTATTACGATGTGGAATAGTCTGAAGGGCTTAATGAGGAGGCATGAGGCTTAAAGATGTTACTCCATCAGTATAAACCTAAACTAGACATTCTACTCAAATGTATCTCGAAATTTGCTTAAACTCCATCCACTAGGATTGTTTTGGTGGTTCAAGATCGATGTATTGTTGGAATTTTTTTGAATTGAAAATATATTTGTTGATGTGATGTTTTGAATATTATTGTGAATTTTGGATGCGAATGTCATATGAATAATATGAAAATAAATTTGAGTTACTGAGACACATTTTTATTTTCTCGCCAACATTGTTGAATGGCAATTGCAATCGCCAAGTTGTTTTGTTTATGTTAATTTATCGTTTAGAATAATTTTTAAGTGCTTCCTTGAATGATTAGATTTATCGGTAGATTTAACATTAAATGATCATATTTCTTGATGTATAATTGAAATGTAAGAGTGAGGTAAATGCTTCAGAAATCCAAAACCCAAAGAAAGTGGTCTAAAAAATTCCGAGACAAGTTGGAATTGATATTAACCTATGATGCCTGCAGCTTTGGATTTGGTCTCGAAATTTTTGAGACCACTGAAAGGGCGACTCTGAGGCAAATTCCGAAGCTTTAAGAAAATGGCCTCGGATCTAATTCAAATTCCAAGACCATTTTATGAAGTCAAATTAATATTTTTTGGTAGTGATTATCTGGCATCGACACAAAATATCGATATTATGGAAATAATGTATGTATCGATATTATGGAAATAATGTATGTTTACAATAATGTATGTTTACAGGAATAGTAAACATTTTGAAGAATAAAATATGAAAAATTGTAAAGTAAATACACCCTCAATTTCCATTTAATTGCTTGGTATTATTAATAGGAGATAGTCATTGTTTGAATTAAACACTCCACTTCACACTTGACAATACAATTATATGTATTTCAATATCAAAACAAGCTCTTACGTTTGATTTTGATTATTATTATTATTTTTCTCGCAATGACAAAAATTTTGTTTATGATATTTTATAGGTATCGAAAAAAAATAAATGTCTTTCACATTTATCATTCCATCAAATTAAATGGAGATCATTAAATAATGGATTTTTTCCCCTTATAATATGTATTATTCTCTTCATCTCAAATATTTTGATTAATTTATTTATTTTTAATTAGGAATGTCTAGAAATTTAAACTATTCATTTTTTTTTTTACTTAAAACTACACGTATCTTTCTAAATATAATTACATGTAAAATATATTTGAAAAGTCGTGCTAAAATAAAAAAAATTAAGAAAACGAAAAGGTACATAATTAGAATAAAATACTATGAGTTTTTTTAAGTTAAAAAGATATATACTAGACATAAAATAAGCTTTTTTTGTAGTTGGTATATTTATTTTCTTGTGCCTTGTGTTGATAAATAATATGTGGCGATAATATATACTTTTACATGTAAAGTGCATTTAAAAAGTCAGAGCAAAACAAGCAAACTAAAAGAAAAACGGAATTAGAATAAAATATGATTCTTTTTAGGTTAAAAAGATATACATTAGGCATAACATAGGTTTTTTTTTGTAGTTAGTACACTCATTTTCGTGCATGGAGTTGATCCACAATGAGTTCACCAAAATAGTGGTTGACACATATCTCAATACGCATCACACACTAATTCTGTACATGATGTGGATCAACCATGCGTCACCAAAATAATATCTAACACGCATCTCAATACGCGTGTCACATAAATTTCGTGCATAGAGCGGATCAACCACGTGTTCACCAAAATAATGTCCGACATACATCTCAATACACATCACACACTAATTTCATGCATGAAGCGGATCAACCATATTTCACAAAAATAGTAGCCGACAAGGATCTCAATATACATCACACACTAATTTTGTGAATGAGCGGATCAACTGCGTGTTCACCAAAATAGTGTCTCACATGTATCTCAATACGCGTCACACACTAACTTCGTGCGTGAAGCGCATCAAACACGTGTCCACCATAATAGTGTATGACACGTGTCTCAATATGCTTCACACACTAATTTCGTGCATGTAGTGGACCATCCACATGTTCACCATCGTTAGATTATAAAAACATTAGTCTGGCTCTCTTCTTGATAACCGAAAGAAAGTTTTGCAAAGCCTTTCGTTGTATTTTGGCCCGTAGATCTGACCCATCTAACCCGCGTCCATATCATTGCCTTTCTGTGAGCTGCGATCCGATCCAAACCCCGCGCTGACCTGACCCGCATGCGACCCGTCTCCCCACATCAAATCCCAGCCATCCATCCTAGGGTTTCAATCTGAATCATTCATTGTTTAATATATATTGCTGCACCACACCACAAAACACACAATACTATGTGCGCCGTTGGTTCTTTCTCTCTCACTCTGTCTCACTTGCGATACCGGTGGTTCCGGTGATTTTTCACTGTGAAGTTGAGAGGTTCTTTTCGATGTGTGCTCTGGGGAGTGTTTGTGAGGATTTTTACGATTCAATTTCTCTGTTTCATTCTGTTTCCGTTGCGAGAGTGGGGTTTTGCTTCTTTAGGTAGAAGATAGGTGTTTCTTGGGTGTTGTTGGCCGGCGCCAGAGTTGTTCGTCGCTGTCTTGGTCTCCTCTTTGATAATAGTGGATGACCTACAAAAATCTGAGCCACATAGCGTGTTTCGATTGTGTTTCAACTTTTTTTCTTGTCCCAGTTCTTTAATAAATTCTATTTAGTATTCTTTTTCCTAAAATAACATCTTTCATGATATTTGGCGACGATTTTCACAAGTGAGTTATTAGCGATTTTGTTTATTGTTTTATGTCGTTTCGTTCTAGTAATTAATTTCACAAGCATGTTAATTATGAATGTTCTTTGTTTTTCATTCTAGTAAGTCATTTGAACTCTTTGTAAATTAATAGAACTTTTTTTTTTTTTTTAAACCTTATGAGAGTAGATTTTATGCGTCATGGATGCTATCGAACCATTACGATACAGTGGTGGTGGAGACGCGATGTCTATCGAGGATATTGCTTTCTTGAAGCTTAATTCCTCTAGAAACTTTTGTGTGATGTTGTTGTTCCACATACACAAAATCACACTGACAGTGACGGCGGCACTCCACGCACTCACACTCAGAGCTCTGATCGACTATGTTTGCCCTATACGCTTCAATGGATTCAGCCTGCATGGAGGTAAACAAAGCAATGCATGCGAATTGCGGATCCAGGTCGATCTGTTGGGATTGAAGATTGATAATCCAAGTTACCGCAGAAGGAATTGTCTTTTCAGGTTCCTCTGCCTGTTGTTTTAAGCAATGAATTAATTTAATATGTCCATCACTGTTGTTGATGTTATTCAATTTATTTTTTTTTATTTTTCTGGTAGGGCATCATTGGAAGATAATGAAAATGATCATGACAGAAGAATGGTGGTGAAATATCTCGAGGTGAACATATAGTGTGGAGAATTAATATTTGGTGTTCTTGACACTAATCTTAATTACATATGGACTTTTTTTGGCATATTTGGTATAATGTTAGATGTTAGAATATATCCATTAAAACATATAGAATGGAAAAATAAATCATAGATCTCAAACATCCGGTCATTTCATATACTGAATAGAGAACGAGAAAGAGTTTTTCGGTTGTATCTTTAAGGTAGATCGGTGTGTGTTTTCTTTTTTGTTCCAAATCTTAGCTCTACGAACACGATGGAGTTTATATATATATATATATAGAGTAGGTCGTAGTAACCCGTTGATTTTTATGATTAAATAAATCCATCCATCATAGATTTAGCTAACAAATCAAAGAATAATATTAAATAATAGTTTAGATTGTTATTCAAAACATTGAGATTATATTTGATTGTTATCAAAATAAAATTAATTATCCCAATAAATCTAACAATTGTAGATTATTGTTTTGACCAGCATGTTTCGTTTGATAGGAAAATCCAACGATGTTTGAACCATTTGTTGAAGATGAAGTTCCTTCGATAAATATTGCGAATCCAAAATGGCAACGGCTTGTAATTGCAAGCCGAGAAAGAAGTGCTATAGACGATGTGAAAGCATAAGAATTGCATAGATCCACGCAACAAATGTAAGTTTTTGGTAGTGTAGATGGATGCTATCAAACCATTACGACAAGGTGTGGTGGTGGAGACTATCCGCCTTTTTAATGTGGCATGGAAAAGTATGCCGGCGCCGAAATGCAACCTTCTAGCTCCGTCCCCTTACCGATGCCTCACGGAAGAGTACAGTTATGTAAGGCGCGCTGTCTAACCTGGCCCGCCTTCTAGAAGTCCAATTCTGTCATGAAGATTTTAGCTATTAAGATAATATAAAAATGAGGACGAGCATTGTACTTTTTGTAATTAAAAGAATTTTATATTCTCTTATTGTTGTTGTTTGTGGGTTTTAGTTTTGGGTTTGGATTATTGAATAGTAAAAAGGTGAATTTGAATAGTTGTTTGATGTGATATAAATAGAAGTTGATGTGATATTTTGAATGTAAAATAAATTTGTAGTATAATATTAAAAAAAATTATTATTTGATGTGATATTTTTAGAGAAAAAAAAAATTTGAATAGTAAAAACTCTTTGTAAAATTCACAAAAGAACACAACCTAGAGTTTATTTTAGTTTTAGTGATGTTTTTCAAAATAACACACCAAAATAGTGTGGCTTACTGGTTGTAATCATTTGTAGGCTATTGGGGTTTGATATAACACACTAATCATTTTAATGTCTTCAATAGTTTGCCAATATTTTGTGCTCATCCTCAAATGGATACATTAGAAAATTTGTAAATATATTTTGTCAAATAGGTGAAGCTACACAAGTTTAAATTACATATTAGTTCTTTGTGTTTTTAAGATTGTCGAAAACTTGCAATTGAACAATGCTGGTGATTTTTGCGGACTCCTAGGAGCGCAGTCGGCGGGGATATGAATGAATCATGGAGAATATGACATTGTAATTAACGAAAGCTAATTAAATATATTTAAATGTGGCAAAAAAAATCCAGAACCAACACTCGACTCGTATTAAAATACATGTCGCACTCAAATTTCATGCATGATATAGATTAACCATGTGTCCATTTATAATTTATGCGATCCTTTCGGATACTAAGCCATATCATTCAACTCATATAGTTTCTCATAAAAATATATTATTTTTTTCTTACAAAATATTATTTAAATTAAAATTAGACAAACCAATACACATGTATATATATTTAACCTAACAAGATATTTTATTCTAACTCTATAAATTGTCTCTTACTTTTGCTATGTTTTTTTTTAACCCCACACATACTCATTCAGGATTGAACTCGACCTAGCCTATAAGCGAAGGATGCCTCGGCACTTGAATTTATTAATAAAAAGCATTCTTTTTCCTTTTCTTTGAATTTATTTTAATATAATTTAAAAGAATAAATATTTTTGTTACGAAAATAATTCCGTAACAAATTTATTTTATACTTTATTTTGTATCATTTGGTTTTTATTACGAAAAACTTAAGGTAACAGATAAAATGGTCAACTTTAAGTGTCGTGAATTTCTATTACTATTCCGTAACTAATATTAGTATTTGTTACCAGCATATTGTTACGAGTCAATGTTTCATGGCGAAAGCCAGATTTTTTGGTAGTGGATGGTGGTTTCGATTTGAAATCAAAACCAAAACACCCCTATATTAGGCATAAAAATAGGTACTTTTTTTGGTCGATGGTACACTCTTGTATCATGTTCTTTTTTGATAAATAGTGTGTGACAATATTATCCAAGCAATTTTGTTTTACATGTAAAATTACTTTTTAGATTTATATATGTATATATATATACATTAGGCATAAAATAGGTGTTTTTGTAGTTGGTATACTTATATTCTAGTGCATTGTGTTGATAAATAGTGTGTGGCAATACTATCTAATTATTTTTGTTTTTATGCAAAATACATTTACTTTTACATACACATTGCATTTGAAAGGTTGTGTTAAAAGAAAAACAAGCGAAAAAAAAAAAAGATTTCGAATAAAAGATGAGTCTTTTTAGGTTAAAAAATATATATTATGTGTCTTTTTAAGTTAAAAAAACATATATTATGCATAAAGTAAGTTTATTTTGTCGTTAGTATACTCATTTTCTTGTGTCTCATGTTGATGAATAGTGTGTAACGATATTATCTAAGTATATTTGATTTTACAGGCAAATTTTATTTATTTTTATTTTTAAATAATTGAAGTTTGGTCATTTGCTATTTTGTGTCAATTTTTTCATTATTCGGTTCTTACAATTCTTCATAAAAATACACAATTATCTCTATCAAATCAAAATATTATTTAAATTTAAAATCCAAAACAAAATACATAAAGCACCGTATGCACCGTATAAATAATAAAATTTTATAAACTAAGGACCCGACACGTATCTCATTACATGTCACACATTAATTTCGCATGTGATGCCGATCAACCACGTGTTCAGCATCGTTAGTAAATAAATAGCACGTTGGTCTTGCTTTCTTCTACACAACCGAAAGAAAGTTTTGCAGAGCCTTCGATGATATTTGGTGACAACTTTTGTAAGTGAGTTATTAGAAATTTTCTTCGTTGTTTTATGTTTACTTCTAGTAATTAATTTCGCAAGGGAGTTATATATTATTGATGCTTCTTTATTTTTCATTCTACTAAACCATTTGATCTCTATTTTTTTACCTTATTAGAGTAAATTTTATGCATCGTGGATGCTATCGAACCATTACGAAACGGTGGTTGTGGAGATGGGATGACTATCGAGGATACGACTTTCTTGAAGCTTAATTCATCTAGAAACTTCCATGTAGGGGGGTTCAGAACCTAAAACCCCACCGTTACGAATTCATCCTTAACACCACTAGGCCACCTCTTAGAGACTATTATGTGAGTTTTGACATTACAAGGATCGGAGAAGTATGGATATTAAATTAAAGTATCTATATGATAGACTTTTTACTATTATTTTTAGTTCAAAATGTTAAAATATGGTTTTTTCTTATATTGTGGAATTGTTTGAAGGGATATTTTTTATTTGATGTATAGAGGATAAGAGAATTATGTATATAATATAAAAAATAATGAACATGTATTAGTATATTAATTTTTGGAGAAAAATGTGTTGGTTATTTTTTACAAAAAGAACACACAAGTACTTTTCTTTATTTACATTTATTTTCTTTCTTTTACAATTTTATATATTAAAAAAATTATAAAATAAAGAAAAGATAAAATAAACCAAAAGTCATCTAAATTATAATTTGTAAAAGTTTGGAGACATGAGTATTACTTCATATTTCTTTATAACTTAATAACTTCTAACCCCTCAAAAAAAATAATAATAATAAACTAAGTTAAAATATTATATTTAATAATTATTAAAAATACATCATTTTTTTTAATTTTTTTAATTAAAAAAAAAACACATTTTGGGGGCTGGGGGTCGGGTGCCCCCTAGCCCCAGCCCCACGTAGTTTCGTCCATGGCGTAGATGGATGCTATTGAACCATTATGACAAGGCAGTGGTGGAGACTATCATGACAGGGTATAGTTATATCAAAATGCGCTATCTAACACGGCGCACCTTACAAAAGTCCGATTTTTCAATAAAGATTTTAACTCTTAAGATGATGTAAATTAAAATGAGGATGAGCATCGTGCTTTCTTGTAATTAAAACAATTTATATTCTTTTTTGAGTTTATTTTAATTTTTAGTGATGTTTTATAAGAAGAAATATTGTATTTTTTTGTATAGTAAAAAAGTTAAATCAATTTTCAAAATCACAAACCAAAATAGTGTTGTTTTTCGGGTGTAATGATTTGCAGGCTACTAAGCTTTTGATATAATATTTCAATAAAAATATAATATAAAAAAAATAAATATTTAATTTGATAGTTTTTAAGGAAGAAAAAAAGGGTTGAATAGTGCAAGCTTGGCCCCAAACTTATATCCAAAGGCACTCTATAACACTTAAATCATTTCTTCAATAGTTTGGCAATACTTTGTGCTCATCCTCAAATATTTTTGAAGACATTAAATTCATTTTGTCAAATAGTTGAAGCAGTAAAAGGTGAATTGTTAAGAAAATTGTAAAAAATATCTCACATATACCTCATTATTACTTTTGTCTTGTATTTATCTCGGTGGCAAAATATATCCTACATGTTTGCAAAAATCGTTATTTATATCCTTTGGCAAGGACATAAATAGTGATTTTTCCAAACATGTAGAATATATTTTGTCAACTAAGTAATATAGGACAAAAGTGATAATTGGGTATCCATATAGAATATTTTTTGCAATTTTTCTTTGACTTGTTTCTACAATTATTCTCAAATTTACGTGAACACTTCGTAGCTCTTTGTATTGTTGAGATTGTCGAAAACTTGCAACTGAACAACAGTAATTTTTGGGGGATTTCTAGGAGCGCATCCCACGGGGATTACGGGTGAATTATGCAGAATCTAGCATTGTAGACCACATGATTGGTTGTTAGGTTTAAAGTTAATCGAAGTCACGCCGAAGCATCGTTCAACACATGATTGGAACGGATCGACCTCGTGTCCAGCATTTGCTCTCAATAAATAGGCCCCATCCTGCCTTTCTTGTCAACAAAATATATATATATATGTATTCGGCAGCAGCGCGAAGATTTATGTTCTTCTTTTTTTTTTCTTTTTTTTTTTCATGAGCAACTTTCTCAGTTATTGATGATGTTTGACAACAACCTTTTCAGGTTTGCCATCTAAGTTATTTACAACTCTCCTTTTTGTCTATGCTTCCCTCTAGTTATTATCGCCATTGAAAAACATTATTTATTTGTTCGATCTTTTTGGATACTAAGCCATTAGATCTTTTTGCAGAACATTGGCGGGCGAGAGAGCGTGGATTCAAGGTAGTGAATCCTATTTTGAGCCGAACATGGAGTTACATAAATGGAAGTTGATCGAGCAAGAACCATTGATTTGATCTATCTGTCTTTGGCAAGCATTTCTAATGAAGTTGGCATGATGTGAGCTTTTCTAACTTTCTCTTTACCCTGCCTCCCTAATTTCGCATAACCTCTGTAAATAGAATATAACAAACTTGAAAAAAATTTAATGCATTTTTTGACAACTTTGTTGTTTTCATTTGCGTCGTTACTCACAATGAACGATATAATCTCATTGAAGGTGGATGCCAAAGAACTATTACCATTTGAAATAGTCTGAAGGGCTTAAAGAGGAGGCGTGAGGATTAACGATGTTACTCCATCAGCTCACTCCCGAACCAGACTGTTTAATCGAACTTATCTCGAACATTGCCTTAACTCCATTGAGTGACCGGAAGTGTTTTTGGTGGGCCAAGGCGATATATATTTTGAAATTTTTGAATTGAAATATGTATTTGGATATGATGCTTTAAATAGAGTGTAAACTTCGGATGCAGCTTGTACAATGACTAATGTGAAAATAAATTTGAATTACAGCAAGCACTCTTAATTCTCTTTTATGTTATTTTATGGCTTCGAATAATTTCCAATCGCATTCTTGGGTTGTTTTTATCCACAGATTTAACTTTAAATTTTCATATTTGGATGTGTAATTGAAATGTACATCTCCAGAGCTAGGGGACCGAAAAAATAAAATAAAATAAAATAAAATAAAAAATAAAATTAATTACGGGACTATTTTTATACAAGCTCAATAATGGGACTAAAAAATATTTTTTTCAAAAAAAATAAAATATATTCTACGTGTTCGCCAGGTGGTGTGTCCTCCGGCGTGCCATGCAGAAATCTCCGCCACGGAGGACCAAATATGCCAAAAAAATCACTTACGAGACTATTTTAATACAAGCACCGGTTTCGGGACTAAAAAAATCATCCATTTAAGTAATATTTTATGAGAAAAAAAAAAAATAATGTATTTTGCAAAATTGTATGAGTTGAATTATGGTGGTTTTGATTTGAAATCAAAACCAAACACACCCATATATTAGGCATAAAAATAGGCTCTCTTTTTTCGTCGATGGTACACTCTTGTATCATGCCCCATGTTGATTAATAGTGTGTGGCAATATTATCCAAGAAATTTTTTTTTTACATGTAAAACATATTTACTTTTTTTAGGTTATGAAATATAGGATGAAATACATTTTTGGTCTCCTTTATTTACATTTGTGTCAATTTTAGTTCTTATATTATTTAAATGATAGTTTTGATTCATTTTATTCAAATTTTGGTTAATTTTAGTTCCTCCATTTTTAAAATGACAATTTTGACCCCTTATCGATTAATATAGTTCAGATTGAGTCCATCATTATCATTTTCTCAAAATTTTAATAGTATCTATTAATAAAAGATGTATAAATCACTATATCTAAAATCATACTCTTATCCACACACACATAATAATAATAATAATAAAAAAACAATTTCATTTTCTTATGTCAATAATTTAATTAAGATAAGCAACTAGCTAGCGACTATGTTTGTTAGACGGATGGTTTCTAAATTGGGTGTTTAAGTTTGTTTTGGAATGAAAAAAGATATCTACGTGAAGATATTTGAAAAAAAATAATAATAGAAAATGATGTAAATAATAAATGAGAATGATACTTTCGGATAAAAATTATACACTATCTCTATCATAAAAAATTTAAAAATAAAAATAAGAAAGGTCAGTACTTATGAGGATGAATTTTAATATGATGTGTACTTTTCTTTTCTTTTTTTTTAATTACGATTTTTTACTAAAAATAAATAATTTCATGTTTTTATGTGAAATATGTAGTAGTAATTATATTTATTAATTTTTACATAAATAATTATTAGAGACTAAAATTGAACCAATTTAATGAATAAATGACTAAAAATTGTCACTTAAAAAATAAAAAAATAAAAAAACTAAAATTGACACATTAATGAATAAAAGAGACCAACAATATATATTACCCTAAAATATATATTAGGCATAAAATAGTGTGTCAATATTATCTAACTATTTTTGTTTTTACATGCAAAATATATATACTTTTACAGACAAATTGCATTTAAAAAGATGTGCAAAAAACAAAACAAGCCAAAAAAAAAGAAAAAAAGAACAGATTTGGAATAAAATATTAGTCTTTTTAAATTAAAATATATATATTATGTATAAAATAAGCTTGTTTTGTAGTTAATACATTCATTTTCTCGTGCACCGTGTTGATAATAGTGTGTAGCAATATTATCTAACTAATTTTGTTTTTACATGCAAAATATATTTACTTTTACGGACAAATTGCATTTAAAAAGTCGTGCTAAAAGCAAAACAAGCGGAAAAAGAGGAACAATTTTGGAATAAAATATGAGTCATTTTTAGGTTTCAAAGATATCTATTATGTATAAAATAAGTTTGTTTTGTAGTTACTCCCCTCATTTTCTCGTGTCTCATATTAATAAATAGTGTGTGATAATATTATTTAACTATTTTTTATTTTTACATAAAAAATATAGTTACTTTTACAGAAAAATTGCATTTAAAAAATCGTGCTAAAAGCAAAACAAGCGGAAAAAAAGAAATGGATTTGAAATAAAATATAAGTCTTTTTATGTTTAAAAGATATATATTACGCATAAAATAAGCTTATTTTATAGTTAGTACACTCATTTTCTCATGCTCCATGCTGATAAATAGTATTAGCGATATTATCTAAGTATCTTTGTTTTTACACGCAAAATATATTTATTTTTATTTTTAAATAGTTGAGGTTTGGTGACTTAGTATTTTATTTAAAATTTTTGTGTTATAGGTTGCTACCATTCTTTATAAAATATATAATTATCTATCTCATTGAAATATTATTTAAATTTAAAATTCAAAACAAAATATATAAAGCAGCGTGCAAACTAAGAGAAAAAAAAAATAAAAAGAACCTTTATTTTGGTATGTACTAAATTTATAATTCGCTATATTAAATTCGAAGATTTTATATTATTAAATAAATGTATATTAAATTAAGAGTTAAAAGCACTTACTACTAGTATAATAAATACCAACGGTCAAGATTAATATTGAAAATTGATTTTCACACCATATATATATATATATACACACACATGTTGGTTACTTTCTCCGTCCCAAAACTATAATCTAGGTTGTATTCGACACGAGATTTAAAGAATATTGATATTATATTGGTAGCAGGTAAAAAGTATATGTAAAAGACTTTTTTGCCCTTCTCGTGAGTGTATTACTCTAACAAGTAGTGGCAATTGTGTAATGATAATGAAAAAGTAAAGGTAGTTTTATAGTGATATGGTTATTTATGAAAATGAGACTTGTTTTGAGACGGACAAAAATGATAAACAAGACTATTGTATTGGGATAAACATATTTAAAGTACGTGCTGCACTTAAATTTCATGCATAGAATAGATTAACCAACTTGTCCATCATCCTCAATGGATAAATTCCACGCCATCAAGCATAAGTTATGAAACCAAACAACAAACACATGGTTATATATAATTATGAATTCATGGAGAGTATGAAATAAGGTAATAGAACAACAAAGGGAGTGGATTCAAACTTGATGTTGAAAATCTCACTCTACAAATTATAAAATGATAAAATAGTCTCTTAGAGCAAATGCAATAGCTTAACTATAGAAGACTTCAATGTTGAAAATGAAGCTTTTTCAAAAAAATGGTCATACAATTACTCTTTTCTAAGACAGAAAAAAATCGAAATACTTCGGTCTGTCACATTTTTTTTCTTTCTTTCTCTCATTTCATTTCTTTTTTTTTCTATTTTTTTCTCTCCCATTTATTTTTTATGCACTACATTTTTGCGTTTTAGACAATTTAGAATTAAAAAATTCGGCACATCAAATTTTAAAGGCTTTAAAGAAAAAACTATTGTGGTTGCTCTTAGTATGCTAATTGGTTTCCAATATATATTATGGAGTATTATAGTGTATTTTCTCCGTCTATTAGTAAATTTTTTATTTGATTTTTGTACGCGAATTAAACAAATTAGTATTTTATAGATACGTAGTATAATAAAGTAATACTATTTTTGTCCGGCTCTAAGGGTTTTTATTTAATTTTTGCATATTGATCTTTGAATATTAATAATTATATGAACACGTAGTACAAAATAAGAGTAAAAAATAAAAATACTTCTATCAGTGTCTTATAATACTATTATAATGATATTTGTGCAAAAAATTATACAATTATAATGATATTTTTAATATTAAATACAATGACGCAAAAGATAAATGAAACTTTTAGAATCGAACATATGGAGTATAGTATTCATTTTACTCTTAAAAAATAATACTCCCTTTGTACATTTTATAATGTCCTAATTAATATTTACATTCTTAAGCTAGAGTTTTTGTTATAAAATGACAAATTTGTCCTTTATTTTGTATATAGAAAAGAAAAGAGTAAATAAAATAAAGTTAAAAGAATAAATTCTCTGTATAAAAATAGAAATAGGACAATAATTGTTGAACATTCCAAATAAAAAAATAGAACGTTAGTTTGTGGACGGAAAAAATATAAAAAAAAGTAAAAAATACCTTTTTTTGATATTTAGATGAAAATTACTTTTTCTTAAAATAAAATTTGAAAAATTTTGATTTGATAAATACTAAAATAACAAATGAAAAATTTAAGGACAAAAGATCGAGAAGAAACCGAGAGCGCCTGGTGCAGGCGAGGCGAGATCGGCGCCTTGTTTCTTTCTCCCTCTACATCATCGTACACCACATTGTCTATGTTCGCCACCGTCGTCGTTTCGTCCGCCGCCGCCGGAGTTGTCTCACCATCGTCGAAACGATGTCGTGACTCTGCAACAATTTGACACCTTTGAAAATCTCGTTTGTACATCTCTCGGCCCGTCAGCTTTTCAAGGAAACCGAAACAAATGGAACTGGAAATGGAATTTGAATTGAAAGCCAACCAGCATCGTCATATTCGTTCATACTTGTAATACTTACATCATCATCATCATCATCATCATCACTAGCATTAGCATCGAGAGTTTCGAGTTTCTATTCTGTTCTACTTCCAGTTCCTATGTTAGCTAACAATATAACAAACTAAGCTAAGCTAATCTAATCTAATCTAATCTAATTAATGGTTCGATTCGAGAATTCTCTTAAGGATGGAATCGGCCTCGTCGCTGCAAAGTCGCAAACTGTTCCTCCCGACAAGCCTCGTTTTGAAGTCCCGAGTCAGTATCTCCACCCTCTCCGCGTCATCCCCCAAACCGCTCATCGCTATCGCTTCCTTCTTCCCAATCAGCCCATAAAGATAAACCTCGGACTCGTCGCTCTTCACCCTCACCCGCAACACAGCATTCGATGACGACAATTCGGGGTCGTATACAACCGAGAAGCTTCCGAATGCCAAGTCAGGGCTCTCGAACACCCTATCAACATCGTTTATGGTATCGTCGACTTTCGCAGCATCCGGATGACCCAATCGCCTCCTCGCCGTCACACGCATTATATGGGCCGCCTCCCGCATCCCGCTCAGAAATGCGCCGTGCATTGTAGCTGGGTACTGCCGGTTCGTGGCCTCTCCGGCAAAGAAAACTCGGTCCGCGACATTCTCCGCAAGGATATCGTAGTCGTCACCGGAGGCGCCAATCGCGACGTATGAATACGAACCGTAGGAGAACGAGTCCTGACCCCAACGGGTGCAGACTGCCTCGAGCGGATCAGGAACCGCAATCCCTTTCGGGCTGAAGATGCCCTTCAGAATTTCCAAAACCCGAGTAACGGAATCAATCGGGGACATGCTTTCGAACTTGACAGCAGCTTCTCCGGCGACGAGGGCGACAAGAAGGGGTCCTCCGGCTACGGATGAATAGCTGTAAAAGAGGAAGAATTCGCCTCTCATGTTCGGGTCCTCTGTCAAATGCCCAAACGTATCGATCTCTCCGCCCCAAAAGTCATACGGAAACAAGATCGCGACTTTGTTCAACAACCCAAACCCTAATCTCTCTATTGCGTCTTTTTTGCGTTGAGGGAGCTCTGGGACAAACTCAATCGTGCCTTTTTTAAGCACCCCTAGCGGGACTGTGCAAAGTGCCATATCGCCGCGATATTCTTGCCCTCCGGCATATACCAAAACACCATTGCTGCCGTACATCAAACGTTCTACAGGATGATTGTAGAAAATTGGAAGATCCTCGGCCAAGGCCCTAACGAGCCTCTCATTACCTCCCGGTATGAAACAATGATCACCGCCCATCTCATACGGATCGTCCTGATCCCAAAATGCCATCGACAGATTCGACATCAAAGTGGCATTGGCGTATTCAAGATTCGCCAAATGCCAATCCAACAGCATTCGCTCCAACGGCTCCTCGGCCACTTTGTACACCCGCCTAAATGCTTCCAAAGCCGTCCCAAGTGATATATCAACACTACGAATCTCCTCCATGATCCCTTGCCTAAGCTTGCACACCCTATCCAACAATTTGTTGAATGAAACCTCGACTTTCGAATCCACATCTGAATTTACCATTCGACCGTTGGGCAAGTACAACGGGCAAATATCCCTCACCTTATGGAGAGGGAATCCAAGCTGACGAGCCAACACTCCCAATGGGTTCCCATTGATCCCTGTCAACACACTGCCGCCTAAATCGGCAGCTCCAACGACACTACCGTCAGCTGAACGCATTTTCCGGGTTCGAACCCTACCGCCGGGGCGAGCCCTGCCTTCTATCACAATGACTTTAAAGCCTAGAAAGATCAACTGTCTAGCAGCAACTAAGCCCGACAGGCCTGCACCTATGACTATCACACTTCCCTTGGGCATTTCATCGAACACATTGCATTTGATAGTTTTAATGGCGTCGGCAACACCGAAGTTTATGTATCCATGGTGGAGTAAGAAATTGTAGGCAGAATTTACCAGGTTTTTGTGCTCGGCGCGGATGGATTCCAGAACTTGGTCCTTGGTTAGCCAGACGGAGACGTTCGAGCGCCATCGGGAGAGGATGTGGTTGCGCACGATGATGTAGTTCGCCTGCTCGGTCCCGCCGGTGCGGGAGACGACGTTCGCCTCGATCTCTTCCTCCGCGAGTGAATCGACGGGGAATCCGACGGAGATAGCGATCAGCGCCTCGATGTCGAGCTCCTTGGAGAGGTCGGACGGACCTCGGCGCCTGCGGTGATGGCCGGAGGGGGTACCGTCGGCGTCCGCTGTTTTAGGGTGCGGGCGGAGGAAACGAAAGCGAGAGACGGAGGAGGAGATCATGTCCGTGAAGATTTTCTTACGGCGGCGGCGTTTCTTCCGCGTTGGAACCTCCGGCTGCGTTTGGTGTTCATCAGCGGGATCTGCCGTAGAATTGTTTGTTTCCGTCGGTTCAATGGCGAAATTGTTGGTTTCCATCAGATCGGGACTGGATTTGGAGGCGGAGTGAGATCCAGGAGGATCTGACGCCGCTTGATTTTCCACAGAAGTAGAAATGGTGGCTGCAGCAGCCTCCGGCGGCGAGTCGCTGGCGTCCATTGGTGCAGCCGGGAGCGGCGGCGGCGGCGGCGACGGGACAAAGGGTTAGGGTTTTAGCTAAGAGAGATGGTGAATTTGGGGAAGTTTTCTATTTTTTATTTTTAATAAAATATTAAATAGTTTTTTTTTTTACTAAATTTAGATATAATATTTATAATTTTAAATATTTTTAATTTATTAATTTTGTTAGATAAACTATAGGTTTGTACTTTTTATATTTTTTAATACAAAATATAATACTGCTTTCTTCCCACCTACATATACATGTTGCCGTTTCTGTTGATTTCACATTTAATGTCATTTTTTTTATTAAATTAATTAGTTATTTTAATTTTAATCTATAATAATTTAATTTATACGATAAAGTTAATTATTTTCACTAATATATTATTAATCATCTACTAATTATATATATTCTAAATTCTAGTGTCTACAGTAATCAAGATTTCCAATGTGGGACGAAGGGAGTGTATTTTCTATTTAAGAAAATATATAAAAAAATATTATGTTTATATACTCAAGAGTTTTAAATAAATTGATTTTTTTTATATATATATAACCAAAAAGCTGTCGTTAATATAAATAATAATATTTTGATTGAATTGTTAATTTTTATAAGTATATAATATATATATTATATTAATGCGCATTTATCAGATTAAATTATTTAAATAAAAATTTAAATTTAACATATATTTCAATTAGTTTAAAACTATAACTAAACAAATATATTCGTGTGTGTATTTGCATGTATATATAATAATAAATAAAGTTATTAAAATGAGTTGAGTATATTCGATTAATATGTCATTTCTTTTCTAAAGAATGATTGGGTTTTAAAATTTTATAATATCAATTCAAAAGAAGGGTCTAAACGAGTGAATTCACCTCACGTCAAACTATAGCTAGCGAAAATTGACACGTTGTGACAATTTAAAACAAAAACATTTTAGTTTAAGAATTTTAATTCGATTATGCGTACGAGTTGATACGAACGGAACATAATAATAAACATATAGATTAGGGTGAGGCTTCCGATTCGAATCCAATACGACAATTCAATTATAGTATGTTAATATTAATTAAAATATTTATTATATATGTAAAATAAATATAACTTAATAATTAGCTCACAATATTAATTTAAACTAAGAGGTGTATTCAATTGAGATTTCAATGGATTTTTTTAGATTTTAAAAAATCTATGGATTTTTGTAGATTTAGAAAATCCACGGAGTCTATATTGAATTTGATGGATTTTAGTAATTGATTTACATGAATTTTTAAAAATTTGATTGAATTCTTTATGAATTTATTTGGATTTTGTGGGATTGTAAAAAAATCTTTTTATAGATATATATAATTATATAAATTCATATCAATCACAAATTTTATAAACATAATATATTTATAATTAAAAAAGTTATATATTATTAAAACACTAAGTTTATAAATGTAATATATTTATAATTAAAGTTATTATATATTATACTCCCTCCGTCCATTTACAAGGGTTAGATTTACTTTTGGCGCAGTGTTTAAGAAATAATAGTATTTTAACTATAGTGAGTAGTTAAAAGTAATGTAATGACATTTTTGCCCTTACTTTTTGTGTAAAAGTAATGATGTAATGTAAAGTAAAAGTATTTGTGGAAAAAAGTAGGGTATTTAATGAAATGTAAACTTTATAATTGGACGTCCCAAAATAAAAACATGTAAACTTTGTAAGCGGACGGAGGGAGTAATATTTTTATAAAATAAAATTTAATATTAATTATTTATAACGTAAAATCGTTGTAACATATGTAATACTACTATATTTTATATTAATATTTTAAATTTTATACTTTTAATATTATATTATCATTCAATATATCAAATTAGTTTTATATTTCTTTATTAGTTATTGTTTTTATTTATATAATTTTTTTACATAAAAAATAAATACGTATATAAATAAAATAAAAAACATAATTTACGATTTTTTGAAAAAATATTGAAGTAAAAAAGTAAATAAATATAAATTAACGGTTCAACGAAAAATATATATTGAAATATTTATTCCACTGTCATCGGAATGACAATATAGTATATTCGATAAATGAAAAAACGAGAATGACACCGGTATGACAATATATTATCTTCGATAATTGAAAAAGGAGAATGACAATGGAATAACAATATATTATATTTGATAATTGAAAAAAAAAAAAGAATAACACCGAAATGATAATATATTTTATTCGATAATTGAAAAAAAAAAACAACGGTAATACATATTAATTATGATAATAATATTTTTTAAAATTATATTTATAATATAAAAATATATATTTAAAAATAATAATAATTCGCTAATATGTTTTAATTTTTAATTATTATTTTTATTAAAAATTATAATAATATTAATAAATATTATCGTATTATTTATCACTTATACAACAACAACAACAATAATAATAATAATAATAATAATAATAATAATAATAATAATAATTTTAAAAATCCATCAAAATCTCTACTTATGAGAAAAATTTTATACTATACAAAATTTTACTAATTTTTCATTAAAATCCATAGACTTTCAAAGTTTATGGATAGTTGAATACCTCAAAATTTTAAGAGACTTTTAATAGTCTATATTGAATGCCTCCCGATTTTAAAAAACTTTTAAAAGTTTGGATTGAATGATTTTAAATGACTTTTAAAAATCTTAATTAATACACCTAGATTTTAAAATTCAACAAAATCTTAGAGAATTTGGATCGAATACCCCCCCTAAGTTCAATTTTAAATAATTCAACATAATTAATTGTACATATTACACTAGAACCAATAAAAAATAATATAACACGACTACATGACAAAATAATTCATTTTGAATTAGATTTCAATTTAATTATATATACGGATTGTTCATATATATATATAGTATATATATTTATGTAAATGGTCCGGTCCACTATCAATTGTATATAGATGATGATGTAACCATAATTGTATTTTTGAGAAATTATATTATTCCGTTAATTACAACATAGTATTAGAGCCTCGATTTCTCCCTGTATAACTAAATCATACTGCCCATTCTGTTTTCCAACTTTCCGGTGATCTTCGATCGACACCGGCCCCACCACCAGGTGCACCGCCGCAAGACCGGCCGACACCTGAAAACTCACGGCGAACGGCGCGTGGCGCTCTCACGCGCCTGACGAAGATTCGCCGTCGGACGCCTAGGTGGCGCGTGACAGCGCGTGCGACGGAGGTTACCGGAGATTTTTCCGGCGTCTTACTCGGAATTTTACTTTGTCTCTCATGGTATAATTTGTTTTCCCGTTTGAGCACTATTATGTGATCGTCTGTTCTTTTGTGTTTCAAATCCGATTTGATCTTCTGTCCGTGCTTCTGTCGGCTGCTTTTGATCCTGCGATTTCAGCTTTGGATATTATTTGTGGTTGTTTCTTTCTCTTTTGATATGGAAAAGATAGATGTCCATGTTTCGATTAATATTACTTTATTTGGGGATAATTATAATTTATGGGCACAATTGATGAAATGTATTTTTATAGGCAGGAAGTTATGACGGATTGTTACAAGTGATATAGTTGTTCATGTTGCTCTGGTTTCTATAGGAGAAGTTGCGTCTACCGCTAAAGCTGTTGAATCATATATTGAAAATTTTGAGGATTGGGACAGTAAGAACCATCAGATTCTTACCTGGTTGCGCAATACTTTCACTTCGACGATACATGTGTAACTTGCCCAATTTGAAACAACTAAGGCGGCGTGGAATTTCTTGGTAATCCACTTCCGTGCTATTGGTTTGGGGCACTATTATCAGCTATGGAGTACACTCCATGATCTAAAACAGGAACCATGACATTCTTTTAATGACTTTCTTGCGCAAGTGCAACCCATTTGGTATCAGTTGGATCAGGCTGAGATCAGTCCTGATCATCTTCGCCTCATTCAGGTTTTGATGACTTTGCGTCTAGAGTATGAGGCAGTTCGTGCCTCATTTTTACATTGGCACCCACTTCCTACATTGGATGCAGCTATTCAGTAAATTCTTTTTAAGGAAACTCGTCTTCACCTAGCCAAGGCTCATCGCTTAATTCTACTCTTGCAGTCACCGCCCGAACTCCTACTCAGAGTTGTCAACTCCACTGCAAACGATGTCAGTCTTCTGATCATGACTTCGGTCACTGCCCCAATTTGGAGTGCCACTACTGTTATTTTTAGGTCATACTATACAGTATTGCCCTACTAGGCCGCTTCGTTCTGGCAGCAATAATTTTAAGCCTCGGCATGTTCATGGGCGTCCTCAATCTAGTACCTCCTTTGTCACAGCTTCTGTCACACCTGCGCCTCCTACGATTCAAGACTTGAAGGCACTTCTTAAACAGGTTCTATTTTTCAATACCGTCATGTATACCATATCAGGTAACTCTCATTGGTATTTTGATTGTTTATGTAGTAATCATATGACCTCTGATATACGTCTCATGACCGCTACATCCACCGCATCATCTCTACCCCCTATTCTTATCGCAAATGGTACCCATATGCGCATCACCATACTGGATATACATCCACCTCGTCTTTATCCCTCATTAACACTTATTTTATTCCCCAATTAACCTTGAATCTGATCTCAGTTGGTCAATTAGTTCATCAAGGTCTCACAGTTATCTTCTCTTTTTCTGGTGTGCAGGTTCAGGATGTGCAAACCGGGAGGACGCTCGGGAAGGGCCGGAAAACGGGCCGCTTATTTGAGATTGAGTCACTTCAACTCCCTCATCCCTCTATTTTGCTGCCACCACCTCTACACCATCCTGTCTGTAGTGACATCATCGTCTCAGTCATGCGTCCTCCAATAAACTAAGATCTTTGATTAGTCGAGGTCTTTTGGGTTCTGTCAATTTTGAGTCTTTTAATTGTGTGGATTATTCGTTGGGGAAACAACATGCTTTGTCATTTCCTCATAGTACTTCTGTTGTGGATACTCCATTTTCATTAGTCCACTCTGATATTTGGGGACCCGCTGTCTCTATGAATGGTTATCGTTATTTTG